TAAAAACTATTTATTTAAATAAAATCAGAACGAACATTGATGCAGAATAATATGAATTCATTATATTTCGTGGTTTCTCATCAGCTGCTTACAACCAAATATGTATTAAAATTTTACATTGAGATAAGATATAGTGTTGAACAACTGACATAAGTGAACGTAAAGAATTGGAATGACAAAATTTATCAATAATCAATAAATAAATATATGTGTGCAAGAACAAGTCAGAGGTTATTTGACGTTAAAATCAAGGAAACATTAGGGATGGGTGATGTATTAGTTGATTGAATTTCGGTGACAGATAAGATCAATTATGTGATAGTTTTGGGGGTAATGAAGGGTTTACATGAAATTCATGGAATTAAAAACTGGTAAGATGGGTTACGTAACAACTAAATAGGATTTGAAGCGTTTACAAATTTAAGAGAATCGAGTGATTGGAAATGTATGAGTGACATGGTTGTTTAAGAATTCGGTAATGGAAGAGAAATATAACAAACTAAACATCAACAAAATAAAAATAATGAGCAGAAATTGAATTACTAGGGTAGTACTAAGTTTATTACTGTCTCTTTTTGAATATATAGATCATGTTTGAGTTTTTTTATCGCGATCTCTTCAGCAAAACGGAGAGAAGCAGTGTTTATTTGTATTTAATAATTGTAGAAACATGAGGAATGTCAATGGTATGCCCGGTGTCAAGTAATTGCCGAGCTATTGCATTCTTAAAAGCCGTTGTCCCTCGCAGTCTCAATTTCTTTGGAATATGCTCTGAAATGCAAACATGTACTCTTCTCTCGGTTCTTCCAATGTATATGATTTGGTACGTACATATCTTTTCTCAGAATCCGAAATTGTCAATTTTTTATTTACATTATTCTAACTCTTAACAGCCTGTAAAACTAAGTAGATTATTAAGGTTGCTTTCATTGTGAAACATAAGGAAAAGCCACGGGAGGTGAATTTCAGCCTAATCGGAACCGTTATAGGTGTCACTGTTAACAATAACTGAGTCACGGAATATTCTTGATTTTATGGGGATTCCAAATAAGTGATTTAAAGATGTCTTCCATGACGCACTGTCTGGAGATCAAGTGTGATATCTGTTGTGATCGTGGCAACACATGATCGGAGAGTCATAACGATGAAACGAAACTTTCTAGCGTTTACTAATTTTTTAAAAGTTCTTCGTCTGGTCTTGGTAAGGAAAAAAATGTTAACCTCAAAGCATGTTTATTTCCGAAGTGATTTATATCCCTTTTTACTTAATGAATGGAAGCAACATTTTAGTTTCGTCCATAACAACGATTTGACCTTAAAAGGTAGGTCAATAAATTTATTTTTTATAGATAAAGCTAACCTATTCGATACTTCCTATTACCTGTTTTTCATAAGTACCACTTTCTTCATAAATTGATATTACCTAAATAAGCAATGAATCTTATCCCCTATTAATTTTCAATGTAAATACTCTAACTTTTTACCTTGACATTATAAATGTTAATCAAGCAATCAATAAACCAAATTAATTAGAACTTTTTGGGTAATTCATGGTGTAGTGAAAACAGACGGTCATTATTTGTGCACTATGCGTTTGAATTTATAAAACGCATCAAAAAACTAGCTGTCTGAAAGACAAAATATTCTTGTTATAAGTTTCGATTGCACAAAATGAACCTGAATGTAGTATTGGGCGGTTTAGTATACTTTGTACTGAACAAACAATGCACTGTATATAATTTCATTTAGATAAAATGATAATTTTATAATGTTTTGTAATCTTAAAATCAATTAAACTAATCAATCACTGACTAACATAAGTGCAGGTAGTATTTTGTAACTTGTATTCTTAGTACCTCTGAACATCGGTTGAAGTTATTGCTCATTTGTATTGGTTGTTTAGATCTTCCCATTTATATTTAGGACTGTGGTTGAGTAGTCTCTTTAGAAATATGTGTATACTGTATGGACTGCCTCAATATTACCATTAAGTTACAAGCATTTTAAACAGAGATAAGTAGTAGCTATCAGGGGAATCTAAGACGCGCGTTTCTTCGCACTTGGGACTCGTCACCTGAATGTTCACTCTTGGACTTGAACCCGATACTGTTAGCTTCAAATGCCTTTGTGTCATACACTTAGCTTCTGAATCCAGATAAGCGTTGGCTTCCTTTGGAAGAATTAAACAACCAATACAGATGAATTTAAACTCACCCTATTGTACAAGCCAGAGGCCATTTGGACCCAATAACTAAGTGATTGAAGTGTAAGTGTTTGAAGCGAAAGATAATTGCTTTGAATGATCTTAGATCAAATTATTGTATAGCTCTAGTAAATGATCAAGCAATAGGATTTTATCGATAACTTAGATCTCAATATATGCAATGGGTTTGTTCACTTTTATCTGCTTATTTGTGTGTTCTAAACTTAAGGTATACTAGCAAGCGGTATTATCTGGATAACCAACAACTACATTTACGACAGAAAAAAGATTTTGCGCTCGTTTCTGTTATGTCAAAATATAAATCGTCACCTTACGTTATCTGAAAAACCTAGTAACCCGGTTTCAGATGAAAAAGGTACTTCAAATGCTTCGTTGTTATTTATTTTCCTTTTCATAAATTAATGAAACCGCAAAGTAAGAAGTCGACAAGAGATTTTCTTGAATGCTTTGCCACCGTGATATTTGTATGTGAGACTAAATTTAACAAATAAAACATGCACACTTCTCACTTTGAACCTTAAATGTTATAGAAGACAACTTTCTAGTAGGTATACGGTGTACTTCAAACCATAAGGAGTTAAGAGTACCAATTATTTATTTGTGATTGTCAGAGTAAATGTTTTGAAAACCAACTATATATTTTGAGAATCGAATGAATCATAAGGTCGTTACAGATCAACATCGATAGAGAAATAAACAAGTCATACTGAAACTTCATTTGTTTATTATTTCAATTTAGTGTTTATTTCGATAGAGGTTTCTCTCATTAAGCAATCAAACATCCCCTGTATTTTCATCGGGTCATTTTCACTAATAATGTAGGAGATCAAATGATAGCTTCTAAAAATGTATTTCGAAATTTTGGAAATGGTCGTCCGTAAGAAATACTTTTCTTAAACCTACAGTAAAACTAAAATTAGATGAATAAGATTTTCAGATATGGATCCAAGCTGTTATACGATTATAGATATCTTCCAACTAATTTGTGATTGTATTTAATCCCTAGAAAAACTAACTAATTTATTCATCTTGTAAATGATTTGCTGTATAACGAAACAAATATAAAATCTTTTCAGAGTATGTGTTCTTACTTAACAACTCTCTAGAAATCCTGACCTTCTATTGAATCAAATCTTTTCCCCATAATTCATAACACTTTATAGTTTGTAAAATCAAAATGAAACCACTTTATATGTTTTAAAGTGATGATAAAGAAATCTTTTATATCACTGATCCATTATTATTATTGCAGCAGTACTCGTAGGAAAGCACACAAGGTTAATAAACGTGTTGCATTGCAAATACTCAACGATACCAAATAATCGAAAAGAAGAGAGCAGAATTTTATGAAATTAAATACAGAAAATCCCAAAATGATTTTATGCCATTTGGGAACTATGGTGTCGGAAATTCTTTCTGATTAGTTTAGATATTAACTTCTATCGAAACTTGTTATTTTTCAAATTTTACAAGTTATTGAGTAAAAATAAAGAGAATTCAGCGAAGAAAGTTTTCTTTTCGACGAAATCATTTACTTAAGTTGTACATTCGTATTAATAGTTATATGTAAAATATATTTTCATAATAGGATAGAAAAGATTACATCACAAAGTGATTTGAAACTCATGTTATCAAATGAGGTTACGCAATAATCAAGGGGTAAGAAAAGAATCTATGGATGAAAATAATTTACGGGTCAGATAATTATCAGTTCATCAGTGTAAGCTGCACCACATGAGCATGTAAATTTATAGATGCACGTTGATGTGGCCCAAAGCGAAAGTTTATCCTTAATACATCCATGAATGGAAGGCTGGCTTGAGAAAATAATTCGAAGCTTAATTGAGTTGAATGTTTTATTCAACGATTTTGAAATCCGTTTATTTATGATTTCAGCAGCCGTATCTCCGTTGAATTTCATATTTACAAAAAGAGTTTTCATTTGTACTGCTGGTGGTTTTTTCGGATGATGTTTAGTTGTTGAGCTACTATCGCCAAATCTAGGTGGAAAACCATTCTTAATGAGAGTCTGTCGAAGTTGGAGTAGTTCCTCATCAATTGTGTCAGTAGAACATATTCTTCTGATCCTTGAGGATAAAGAGTGAATTAAGTTCCTCTTTCTACTCAGTGGGACCCAGCTATGAAAATTCATGTACTTCCCATTTCAAATCAGTCTTCTATATGTAGATCTCTATAAAAAACCATCTGACCTTCTTTTTAATCGGACATCAAGAAAATGAAATTCCTTGTTTTCCACTGTTACCAAAGTGAACTGAATTGAGGGGTGACAATTATTAAAACCATTTAAAACTGTATTGAGGTCCATATCTTCACAAATAATGAAAGTATCGTCCATATATATCTTATATAAATGAAACCCCTCAATTATTGGTCAAGGTACCGTATTTTCAAGATTGGCCATGAAACAATCAGCCAAGACGGGATCTAATCGAGAATCCATTGCAACTAGATCTGTATGTTTATAAAAATCATCAATAAATCTAAAATGCACGTTGAGAGTATATGGTAGAAGTGGCTCTTTTGGATAATTTTTTGGGATATTATTATTTTCAATATAGTCACATAAAAAGCATATAGTTTATGTGAGAGGAACATTTGTAAAAAGAGAAGTGACATCCAATAAGATCATTTTCCTACCATTTAAATTGATATTTTCAATTGAGTCGACAAAGTAAAGGAATCAAGAGAGTTGTATCTCTTGATATGATTTTTAACGGGTTGTAAGATATTAGCTAACCATTTAGAAATCAGGTTACGCTTGTTACTCTTTTTTATTTAAAGAAAATATTACAAAATCTCCGAATGATAACATCTACTCAGTTGTACATTGGCTATCAAAATTAATTGTTTTTATGGCTGAAAGACTGGTTACGTTTTACTTGGATTTTCATTACATAAGCTTTTGTTTATCGGAAAACAATATGACCAACAACACAATTAATGTTAACTTTTATCTTTATCAATTTTCCTTGTTGTCGCTTAGTTATAATCAAAATCAATCATCCATTAGTGGTTAGCCTTTTTAGTAATTGAACAAAATCGTTAAAATTGAAAGTGAAGTTGTACAATGATTAGGAAAATACTAAATTTTCTCCCAGTTATCAATCTGAATCGCAAATGATAAATATAAATTAAGTCAGTTATAAAAATGAAGCAGAAATCTTTATCATAGGACTGAACACAGTGTAAAGTCTTCTTGTTGTTTGTGATTACTATACAATCTAGTTGATAAAAAATAAGGAATATGTCACCTTTCCTGCGAGATAATATTTTTTCAAAGTGTATATACTTCCTGTCATTTTGTTGCTTCATTTAGCGTATCATTTACACAGGATTCTGTTGGTACTGTAAAAACAGATAAAGAACTTCTAAATGACATTGGTTCTGTCTGCACAACATGTTCAGTATGACTATCTTCCTTGACCGTTACCTCTTCAGTTGATAATGTTTTTAACTTGTTATGTATCATCGTTGAATCAATCCCTCCAGTATTAGTTATTTCATCACAAATTTCTGACTTCATATTCCATATAGGTCCAGAATAGCTTTCAGCGTTTAAACATTGTTGCCGTATTCTATTAATTGCTAGTTCAGAATCATCTATGGTCTACAGATTTTACAAAAACAATTTACATACATATATGAAAGTATGAAAATAATTAATTAGCTTTCAATCGTCAACCAGGTTTTAATACAAAGTTCAAAAATCTTCAAACCATTGCATAGCAGAAAAGAGTGACGTACGATCATTGTATCTGGCCCTAATGGCCCGTTTATTTAGGCATTTGATACAGCTCATAGTAAAATAATACTATTTGTCATACGGTGTTTCCAACATAAATCATTGTCCATAGTTATATCTCAATCATTACAAAATTTTGAAACCTTGTAATTTTATTCCTTACTATTTCATTGTCTTTAGACGGTGACTGAAATTTATGGATATTTTAAACGGATTTTTTTAATAAATATTGTGACATTGGAAAACTACGCTATTAGATTATGATTATTTTGATACAACTACCCGTTAGATGGTGATTGGAGGTAGTCAACAGGAAACCCTGGAGATGGGTTTCCAGTGACGAGCGCCAAGTAGCACGAAACCCGGGTCTAAGACTTCCTGTTGACTACCTTAAACCACCAACTAATCTCAACATAGTGCACGCAATGTCGAGTCACCTAGACTAGTGGCCACATTGCAACTTGATCGATTGCATTCTATCTGCACTAATAAGGACTTGACACATATGACATTGATCACCAACCAGTGATCAATCAATTGTGACTACTATCCGTTATCAACTGTTTACTAAAACATAAACATTAAATACAACTATTTCTCTAAATTAGTATGTTATATGGAGAGCTATTTTGAAACTACAAGACAAGAAATAGCCCGGTACATAATAAACCCAAGTGAAGAAATAAAGTTTGGTCGTGATTATATGGGACTTAAATTATTTTACATACGTTCTAATAATCAGTATAGTATGCCATCTACCTGAAACAAATTCTCACTTCACACTAATATAGTGCCTTTATTCTTTTTGCCAACGTAAAATTGATGTAGTTTTTAATATCTAGTTAAAATTGAAGAGGAAAATTCAATAGTCTGAACGTTATACCAACGAATCAGTAAGTCAATAAATTTTCATATAACGAAACAGAAAAACGAAATCATTTTGGATGATATTTAAACTAAGTAAATGAACAACACGTACATATATCTCTAAAATTTTAAAATCATCTCAGTTTGACCACATATTTTTGATACTAGTTACCCGTGTCTGTTTAATTTTACTTATACCTCATCAGCTGTAAGTATATGCACACCCCGATGTTGATGTTAGTGATGAAACTGGGAACCAGCATCTATCAATTAAAACCCTTGCAAATAATAATAAATTTTTTTTAAATGTCTTTTAACAAATGTTAACACTTGATGAAAATGATAAAAAGCATCTAAGTCTGTCTTATACATATGAGTCTTTTAATGGTTTGTACGCAAATACTTCCTTATACTTGTATGATCAAATAAAAATACCAAACCAGTTGTTCTTTCACTAATCTACCAGTTTGTTCCGCAGTTTACGAGTATAAATTATTTGTTCAAGAAATAAAAAGGTGGAAATCATTACAATCTTTTTTTTAATAACACACTGTACAGTAATAACATTAATTCACGAAATATAATAAAAAATTACGCTGTGTACAAATGCATATCTATAACGAAATTATTTAATATCATTTATAGGCTTAAATAATAAAGCGACTTGATTAGAACAAAAGTTGGCTAAATCCACAATTAAGTGAATTGCGCAATCGATGTGCACAAAGTTGAACGACAGTGTAAAAAATTAATTTTGAAATTCTGAGAAACATTTGCAGTCGGTGTATTTTAACCACCTCAATTTAAGTGATAGAAGAAATTAGGTAGGAGCCTTATAAATGATTATGTGAAAGTGTTAAAAATGCCTTATACATAATAGCGATAAAGAACTAAGCACATAAATTAGTTTTATAAGTCACTAAAATTACTTTAAAGCGTAATGTAGTAGCCATGACATATCATCCATGAAACGATGGTGAATTCATACCAATATTATCTTCAAAATAATTATACTCTTCAAACTTAAAGCTAAAGGAATGGAAGTTTATTTAGCCAAAATAAATTTGAAAAAATATTTTGGTATATATTTATGCAAAAGTTAAAAATTTATAGACATTATTTCAAGTAGAATCCAAGATCCAGTTATTCAATTGTCATTTAAGTCAAACTGGTTGTAGACCCGCTCTTACATGTATAAATTGTGTAAACTAGACTTTTCAAATCAATGTTAAAATAAAGTAAATAGGAACAAAAGTAATTTTCTAACTCTTCTTTCAATACATATCAAGAATAAAGTAGTCAATACCTTCAAGTGCTATTAGATAAACCCATAAAACGATGATTTATCAAGTATTCAAATTAAGTTAAAGTTTTCATTATTGCATTTCGAAAAATTATAGATATATAAAAAACTTCTTTCGACAAATAGGAGCATGTGCCTACAATGGAAACAAAGTAACATATAATTCATATGAGACCACTCTAATTTCACTCCTGAGACGGAAAGATTTATTGTTATTAGTTTTCTAAAGGAAACACATTAGCTCTAACTTGTAACAAGTTGATTTTTTGTCATACACTGGCATACGTTAAAGGATCACTGAAAATTAGGGAACACTGGATTGTTATTTTGTAGTATGTGATCGCTCAGCGATGCATGCTCACGATCCCACCATTTATTGAACTTGGGACTACTAAGTTTCAAAGTGAGCGCATCACATTTGGACAAGTGATTTCGAATCCAGTTGCTCAGATTTCCAACATTAATCATTTTGTGACATAGTGTTTTGTCATTCAATATCACTTTTAGCAAATGACTAGATGTATGAAACAATTGATAACAACTGACCCCTAACCAAAAATGTAACGATAATCAATATGAAATAATTTTCTGATAATTTATCCATTCAGTGGTCACATTGTTAAAACTTTATTATATAAGAGTCTAAATAAGAACTTTTATCTAAATTTGATCGAACAGTTTCACAGTACTTGGGCGCCGAGTTAATGTGAGACATTAAAGAGGAAGAATGTATTTGTAAAATCTCAGTGAATGAATTCTGAAGTAAATCCAACGTTTCGCCTGGCAATCTCGTCCATGCTTTTTCAAGGAAATATAATCAAACATCAAAATTATCGAATATATATATATTCTTGAAAAAGCTTTGACCAGATTCCCAGGCGAAACGTTGGATTTACTTCAAAATTTATCTGCTGAGATTTTACAAATACATTCTTCCTCTCTAAGAGTCTAGATAATATTGTAGGAAAAATAAAGTTTTTCAGCTATGCGAAAAAAGAGAAGCCTAATAAACATTACTCCGATCCAGTTAATTGTTAAATGATAGATTGATAAGGGAAGCTATCACTATTACACACTATAAATTAAGTTAGTAAAGACCTACTTATCTAACCAATTTTTAATTACGCAACAATGTACACCATATCAGATACTGTCAGACTAACGTAAATTAACTTATAACATATATATTATAACACCATCCATCATCTTTATTCATATTAAATGTGATCAAATATATCTCGATTATACTTATCATTTCATTATTTCTTCGGTCGCAGTTCTACTTAGGTTAAACATTTGTAATTTTATTGTGCTAACAATATTATATTATCCCCATTTTTATTGGACGTGTTATCAAACACATAATTCCCTATACCCAAAATATGCAAAACAACATTTTTCCACTTGCTTTGTTTATATTTTTTTTAAATTTATATTTAAATATACATGTAGTATTATCAACGAATGATGATTTATCTGATATTATAAATTTCTTCTTGGTTGAATCCTTTAAGCTGAAAACATCGAATGCACCGGTTAATATTAGGTTTGTGTTATTGAAGCTCATTCTAATAAGTGTCGAGTGTTTCAAATTATTCTAGAAAATCTATGTATAGGCTTACTTTTGTAATTTGACATTATACGATTGAAACTTTACTTTTAGTCGTCATTATTTCAAAGTTAAATACGGTTTACCTGACTTATTTCTCTACTGATCTTTAGTAGTTAAGTCTGTTTAAATAAAGACATACAGTATCTTATGATTTAATGGATGGAAGTAAAATAGCCCCTACTAAAAAAGGATTGCAGAGACGTTTGCTGTGGTAACATACAAAGTCCAAAGTTTTATTATGACACACATTAGACAAAATATGACTGTTCCGTTTCAAATCCAATGAAGTTTAAATAACTAACTTCTTTCTTAACAATAATAACAAATAACAAAATTAGTAAAAGGTCAGGGAATTCAAATTTATGGTTAGTTGCGCCTTAATGTTCGACTCTACATGACACTTATGTAGTAAAATAAGTGAACAGTTCGAGTCCTATACTTTTTGTGGTCACACTGTTAACACTTGTTGAATTTAGTGTATTTATTTTAGACTCATGTTTACCAAGTATTTGGGACACATACTTTTTCTTACTATTATTGTTAAAATAAAATTGTATTAACTATGTTTTCCTTAGGCTAAACTCAAAAAGCAGTGGATAGAAAACACTCAAGGAAGATTTAACAGTTAGACTAATAATTGTAAACTATAAATCATTTGCTTTTTTTATGACACATTTTACGATTCCTTTATCAGTCAATTATGAATTCTTTATCTTGTTTAATCATCTCTGGATAGTTTAATGGTGAGAGGGGACCGGTTACTTTAAAAATATAGGTTTTTTACATTGCCAGTCTGATGCGCTTTTTAGATAGCAGTTTAAATAAATCGAATTTATTACATCTTATTACAATTCTTCTGATGAAAATCAATTTGAATTATTCATCATCGATTGATATTAACCAGGAAATCACTTGGATTATTGTTGCGTTCTAATTTTCCACCCTTCATTATGATCTAACTACAGTCTCTCAATTGAATATAGTATTATTCGGATTGAATTCGCCATAATCAAGATTATGTGTACGATGATTGGTTATTACTGTTTGATTTAATTTTCCATGTAATGATTAAGTTACATTAAAAGTATTTTGTTAATTCTACTATGATACTTATTGATGAAACTTTATAAAAATACCATAAAAAGAGTAATTTAAGACAATATTTGATGATTTTTTTATATGAAATAAACAGGACATATTGTGTGCACCATGACATTTTAATTACAAGTAAAGTAAATGATAAAAAGTTTTATCGAGATCACAAAAGTCATTAACCTATAACTGTAGTTAGTCGCTTAAATGAACTTCATCATTCTTTATGCTTACCAAGCTGTTGTAAAAGTTTGACTGACCTATATACTAATAGCTTTGTACAGGCCGTTATTATGCGATTCACTTTGTAGTCTAAGTATCTACCAGTAAGCTTTATTGAAGTTTCAAAAAAAAGAGTGGTACTAGAACTGGTTGTTTAACTAGATGGTTTATGCTATACTTGAATAATGTTAGACTAAAACATCTGAATTATTCACAATAAAATCCTCAAGCCTAGCAAATTTATATAAAAAACCAGGTATAGTTTTTTCTGTCTCCAAACCACCCAACTGTGTATTCATCAAAAATGAGTCATACCCCTGATAGTTAATGGGTGTTTAATGTGCTATGATTAATCATAAGCTAACCACAAAAGTATTCAAAACTGAACTAACAGACACGTTTCGAAGATCCAGTACATTACCTAATTATGTACATGAATGACTATAACGATTCTTTTAAAAAGTGAAAAGCTTTTTTATAGAAGCAAATAAAATCGAAAATACTCATTTATGTTATTTATACGACTTACCTTGTTTGGTTTCATACTTGTTTCATTTGACTCAAGCATATCTAGTCGCTTTAATTGTTGATTTTGTTCTTGTTTATTATTCTGAATAATTAAATTTGGATTTTGTGGATCACGTTTTATGTCCATCACCTTTTTTCTTTTAACACTTTCTGATAAAACAATATAACTCTGTTCTTTACGCCAAAGTTTCCATGATTGATGATGATATCGAAAAGAAAACTAGAAGTTTGGTATTTTATAAAATTAAATTTTTAGGTTCCTAATAAATTACAAATATTCAAAACTTCATGAAGCATGTGTGGCAAACACAAGAGAAGTCACTAATGCTACTTAAAAATTTTTAAAGTATGTTTCTAGGAAATTCAAGTTTGTTTAACATATGCGTCTTAATGATGCATGAAGCTAACAGGAAGTACTTTAAATAAAAAATATCAATAAAAGCACAAGAACATACTTATACCTAAATGATTTTTAAATGGAAATTACAAGCGTTTGCTTGATTACACGAAAAGGATTAAAGGCTTCCTAATGGATCCCCAAAATTCAAAAAACAACATTCGTTAAACCCTTTAATGCACTATTAGAGAAATAGTTGGATCGAAAAAACTGTTTTATGTTACTTAACTTGTACTAGTAGGTTTTTATATCTTGAACCGTAGTTAGAACAGTTTTGAAATAAATTTTTATGACAGCCAACCTGAAAGATATCTCATTTTGACCAAATCTTTAAACAAAATTGAACTTCTATTGAATGTTTCCAACGGTAGTTTGGTCAACCACATTAGAAATGGTTATTAGAAATCATTGAGACTATTTTCTAAACGTGATAGGTTTATGAAAACAAAAGAGTTGAATATCGACTTCTCTAGCTATTTTTTCAAATATCACTAAAATTATTTTTGGGTAGTTTTTAATGCCTGTGACGAATTTATACATGTTCTGACAGTTTTTAAGCCGAATAAAAATCTACTCATCCTTTCCTGATAACCTAATGAACTACCAAATTCATATTTGTTAGTAACCAACAAAAATCTGATATGAAAAGTCAGCGACTTTCAGTAAAATTGTTTTAAATTGACTGTTGATTGCTTTTCAGGACAAATTAATTCAGTACTTACTTGGGGTTTATGAGCCCCAAAACACATTAAAGCAATGATCTCGAAGTTTCAAAAAGCTTTAAAGCAACACATAACAACAATTTCAGGCATCTAACAGATTTATCCTTAGCTTTTAGATACTACAAATAAGAACTTTACGGACTTTATGTTCTACAGAATCCAAAAGGATTTTGCAAAAGATGAGAAACTTTCAAAGACATTGATTTAGTGGTTTTGCGGTGTTGTATATTATGTATAGCTATCAAAGCGCACATTACATTTTAAACATATTTTTGATTAAACAAATTAATTTAGACCACTTTGTCTTATGTTATTCAAATTTCGTTGATCACGATAAGTTCAGTACTCACCATTAACCAAATATTAAATACTAAAAGAAGAAGACTGCATAATAATCCAAGAAAAAAGGACTGCCATGGAAACCTTCTTGAGTTAGCACTTTTTTCATCCTGATTCGAAGAAATTGCTAACCATGCGCACAGTGTGAGCAAAGGTATCATGATTAGCAGGCAAATTAAATCTGTCCATAAATATCTGCGACGGTGTATCCCATCTCCTTTCCCTCCCATCCATAACCACTAATTTAAAAAAGATGAATAAAATCTGTATTGTTTAGTTTTTTAATGACAATACTGAGTTTTATTCCAAACGAATTGAGAGACACAAAGTAAATCATAACGGTCTATCTAAAGCATTTCTTAAACATAATGAACCCGACATAAATAGACCATTTTGTACATTACGTTAACAATAGACTCCATTTATTCAGTATTCTAAGGATCATATTGTTTTTGAGTGAAATGTTTAGGAGATTAGAAAATAACATCAAAGCTTGATTAACCAACACATCTTTAATTCCAGAAATCAGCCATTAGACTTTAACTCTTGTTGTTTAGATAGACAGTTCAGACGTTGTTGACCTGGCTGTGTCGCGGCATATACTCTCCTACCTTTATAATTACAACCACCATATATCTACTAATTTCCAAGCTCACAGAATCCAAAATGACACTATTTAAATATTCAATATAAAAACGGTAAGAACGAACAATAGAGTTTTGTCATAATACTTTCTTATTCTCTTCTATAAGTAGGAATGCATTTCATAACGCAACTTAGTTTATTACATTGAGGATCGAAAATAAGACGATCTTAAGACTAAATAACAACTAAATTGCTCTTCATATTCAGGTCCTTCTTAATATTCACTATTTCAAGTAGCAATTATTGAATACTCTTTTGAGTCACTCTAAATATTTTTCCTTTAATAGATTTAAAGCCGCAACAAATGCTTACAACGTTCTCCAGGTTTTAAAGAAACAAAAAGTTGACATAGATAGTTGAAAATTATTATTTCAGTGTTCTTTAAATGAACTAACGATAATGAAGAAAACTTTTACAAATGAGTTTTTCATTTTGATTTGATAGTTTTATCTTGTAGAAATACCATAAAACGTCGTTGTTAAACAAAAACAGCTAATGTTTTGACATCAAGTGAATAATTGAATTGAGCTTCGTATCCACATTATGCAAATTTTTTTAATGTATCACTATTGTGTGAAGGAATACATAATTGTTCCAAACCAATAACAATAAATGACTTATGCCACGTACATTTAGGATGATTGGAGGTATTTGAATTGTAGTATGGACTAAGAATCCCAGAAATAATGTACTCGGATCAAGAAGTACTAGATAACCACAAACGAATGTACTGTATTTAGAATTCAAAACCAAGCATTCAACAAGTACAAAGGAATCATAAGTTTATTCAAACGCCACAACATTGTGAGTATTTTAGCTATACAACGTCTACAGATTTTGTTCAACTGTCCTCAGGCAAGAATAAGGCTCCATGACTTTTGACTGCCTTCTCTTAATATTTGTTCTAGTTTTCATAAAATAATGCAGCGGTTATATAAGTAGTGAATGATTTTAAGATCGATACTTGTTCTGTTCATAATTTTTATACAGTATATTTAACTGTTTTTTTAGTCTTCACATAATGGTTTATCCGTATCTACTACAGTACCTTGAGGGTCGATCTGTGAATGTCAGTTTTAATAAATGCATTGCCGAATGTTCATTAATAACAGCAGTGATATAGTTGATAGACTCTGCATTTTTTAAACAAAACCACCCTTACTAAAATAATAAAATGGACACCTTCAAATAAAAACCAAAAACCAAACTGTATTATGATTCAGTTTTCGAAGTCCGTGAAAAAGAGCCGTTTTCAAGATGGAAAAACATGTTGTGATTCACCGAGTAGTTGTTTAGTGCTCTATATATGATGATTTCTACCCGTAACTGTTGATAAAATGGGCCCAGGAACAAGTGTTGCAAGCAAACAATATTAATTTCCACTTAAATAAAACATAATCCTCACAAGTTAAAAAAGAGTTCACAACGTATACCAGGTCATCTGAGCTATATGTTAATTATACAAGACCGGTTTTGAGGTAGTACCGACAAGCCGGTCAGTAATGTCTGCTTTAGCAGCAGAGATTATGGACTGTATTCTTAGAACTAGTAAGTAACGTAATATCCGACGCTTCTCAACTGTAAAAACATATGAGAACCATCTTACAATCAGACTTCACCCTTCTTGTATGTTAAATATTGTCTTTGAGTGTTTTAAACAGAGATAGTAAGCCGAATATATGGCACATTTGGACTCTGGAAATATATTTTTATTCCATGAAATAAACACATTGTAAGTGAAAACTCATCGAAATAGTTAGATAAGAAACAGACCTTACAAAAGTGAGGATAATGTTTCAAAACTTCAAAAGTGAAACCGCAAATTTCACAGGTTTTCGATCGAGACAAGTTTAACCACTTCTCCAAACACCGTTGGTGAACAATTCCAATTGTTCCTATTACCTTCGTGAAATGAAGAAAAGATATTTGTTTTATTACCTGCACAATAGCAAGGGCTTATCAGTTCCTCAAAGTCACTGGACCCCAAGCATATACGACAATAAATCACATCGTTTTTTATCCTAAGGAAAACATCATGTTTATGGCAAACTGAGAGATATGTTTTACGTTTCAGAATGCGGAACTGTTTTCGAAAATTCCGAAGCTTTCGTGAACGATGCATCTATGAATTTTGTATCAAGTTTTAAAAAAATAATCATTACAACCATCCAATTTTGAGCTCATACCACGAAGACGTATAGAACATTTGAAAAGCACACCAATAGGTTCAAACAAATAAACAGGCAATGCCAATATATTTAGGTATGCTCGTATAAATATTCATCTGACAGCTAGAGATTTTTTGGAGTTTAGAAAGTTTCTTACTCGTGAACTTTGAAATTTACTTCAAAACTACAGATATGAGGAAGGTATTCATACAACGGTTATGTGAAATATAATCGTGACACTCAAAAGTAAGTGCATGATGAACTGTTTGATCGTTCTAAAGTTCCAGTAATGAGTGTTCAGTTAATGACTGTTGACGAATATTTCAGTTGTCACGCTACTTATTGAGGATTTCCCGTAAACCTGCAAACTCTGCACTATGTGTTCTGGATTTTCCGCTGTTGCCAGTTTGTACTCCAACTAAACTTTTACTATTAACATTTTGGTATCAAATTGTTAATCCTTGACTGTCTAACAACGTATTATCTTGATAAAACAGGCAGAGGTGATTGGGTCTGTTTATGTGTGGAGTTAGGTCAGTCTTCTGAGAAACTCTTGATAGATCTAAAACTTGCCCATTCTTATACTTTTATTTTTAACCTAATTAACAGTTTGTAAGTTCATTTCTTTAAAACGTTGTGTTGCATTAAACCTGTAACAACTTTGGATTGATTAGTTAAGAGTTGACCTTAAACATCTGTAGTGGTATTAGCTTCAACCACACAATCCCTAAAGCTGATTATGAGGTAACTGGGAAAATAGATATTCAACATTCAACATGGAGAGAAGGCCAACAGTGGTGAACTCGGTTTTATTCATTCATCCAGTCAGATGACATGGCTCAGCCTCGCAGACGTAATCATTCTGTGAAAATTGTCTTTACTCATATGGAATACATTACTCTGTCTTTAATAATAATAATAATATATATTTCTGCATGTGCAGGTACACACCGTTTTTACAGGCATGATCTATAAATTACAACATTTGTTGGTTCACAGAATGTTTTCCAACTTATTAAGTTTATAGATGTTATAAAGTGAAATCGTAGAGCGCTTGCTGTAAACTATGACCTTGAGAGGACGCGTACATCAAGTTTGTTCCAAACGTCAGAGGTTTCATAGCCGTGCTCTCAGAGCAAGATTCTGAAGAAAAAAGAGAAACAGAAGAGCAGCAAGGCACTTGGATATGAACGCAAAAACGTTGCTTAACATAGTGTAGTAGAACGGACAGGTATGATAAATTAGAATAAATTCATATTATGTCTTGTTAGTGAAATGAAGTCAGAGGCTCCATATTATAGAATGTACTAATAAAGAACAATGAGTTGTGATGTTTAACAAGTTGGAGTAAGCTCACACGAAGGGAAGGAAGTCAAGGCTGGTACAAGGAAAGCGGTTTATAAGAAGGGTGTGTATTATGTATTATCCAAGAGCGCCAGACGTCATACCGCCAATTCCTACGATATGAGTCAGGTTTGTCAATGATGAGACTACCATGTAATAACTCACAGATTAGATAGACATATCCCGACAAATCCACAATTTTAGAATTAAGTTTATCATCATAGCAGCACTAATTACGAACTTAGAACATAGCCCCACACATCTGAATATATATCGAAACAACGAAGCCCGAGTATTTATTCACTTCCTTATTTTGTGTAGGACCAAATTTCTTATTTTCCTATATTGAATGTCAAAATCTTTGTGTGTTTGAACAGGTGGCCTCGCGCTAGACTGTGTGCCACCCATGAGAAAAATAAGAACCTATCAGCTTCTAGTTTGTTTTATTCTATCAATAAAACAGAGGGTACCTACCACCACTGAAAACCTACAAACTGGGAGACGTGGCACAAGGGGGTATCGTATGGTCAGCAAACGAAAACCTGCTGTTGGTAGAGCAAGTAATGGCGACAGTCTACTGAAACTGCGCGGACTGCAACTTGTTCCTGGCTATCACTAAATAACGGTGCAGTTATCATCTCTTTCCACCCAAAGTGCGGACACCAAGTGACCACGTTATTTTCAGCCTCCCTGTTTTCTTGCGTACAACTCGCTCTGGAGCACTTCCCTGGACTCTGAATATGCTTTAAATTGCTTCTTTATTCCTGTCACCTCTCATGGAAGAGCATAGGCTGCACTCAAGTATTCTCCAACCAAATCTAACTTGGGCAATCATTTCCAGTTCTTTCCAGTTTCTATTCATCTTTTTCATGTCTGCTCTCAATTCCAGGCGCAATATGTTAATGCGTCTTCCTCTATACCATTTTTCTTTTGAATTCCGAGTTAGCGCTTGCCTCGTGGTGCAGTTTGATGTTTTCTGTAACGTATATCTTATCCACTCCCATCGTCTTTTCCTAAATTCCTCTTCATATCGAAGTTGGTTTGTTCTCTTCACAGCAAGCTGTTGATGAAGGTATTCGTAAATGGACATTTAGTACCTTATACTTGCACTTTTTCGACAATGGTTATAAAAGTTCTTGGAAATTCAGCCCCGTATTATAGAACTGTCTTGTTGCACGAATCGAGGATTCTGACTTCGATGTTGGTTTGCAGACAGTTGTTTTGATTTCCATGTGTTGTTCAGTTGTCGGAATGCCGTTATCGTTTTTCAATTCTTGCATTTACATCTGCATGTGACCTTCCTTGTCCATCGATGATGCTTCACACGCTCATGAAAGATTCACATCTTCCACAGCTTCTCTATCAAGTGTAATTGTGTTGGTGTTCTCTGTGTTTTATTTGAAGATCTTGTTTTTTTTCTTATGTATTTTGAGGCATATTGATGCAGAGATTGCCGCTACACTTTTTTATTCGTAATTTTTAGTGTGTATTAGATAGAAGGTTCAAGTCATGTGCGAAGTTCAAGTCGTCCAATCTGTCAATTGTAATTCATGTTTCCTTTGATATGTGTAGGTCCTCATGATCCAGCCGACCACGAGAAGAAAAGGAATCCAACCAGTTGATCTGGAAGCTAGATGTCTACCGAATCGGAAGGTCTGTAGGTGCTGCTTTGGTGTCTGGTAGGTTCAGTGGAGCTGGTCTATTCAAGAGTTCCTAGAACTATTCTAACGATTTGTTCCTCTGTTCTTGAATTGCAGTGATTGGCTAGGCCTCTTTGTCCTCGAACGGTCTCTCTGGTGTATTATATTCCCTGATGATGTTTTCGCTGTGTCATATAGCTGTTTCATATTTCCTTCTCTTGCAGCTTCTTCCACTAGCATTGCTAGCTCTTCCATATATTTGTCAGTTATAGTGCTCTTGTTCACTTGTTTGTTTGTTTCGGTGTATTCAGCTTGTAACTTGACTTTCTCAGTTCTGGTCCGGTAGTTGTTAGTTGATGTCTTCTCCTTCGTTCCTATTTAAGTCTTTTCCAGGATTTCCTTAAAGATCCATTTCTTGTAATGATGCTTCTTGTGACACGGAACCTCCTGATACCGTGAAGTTAGTGCTTCTTTAACCCTTTTTCACTTGTCCTGCATAGTGGTTTTTTCTTTGAGTAGATCCCGTAAGGCTTGAAACCTGTTCATGAGATTTGTCTTGAATTCGTTGGGTTTTTCAGTAGGTAGAAGGGGGGCTGTGTTAAACCATTGTAACACCGTTTCCTCAGTCTTCTAGTGCTTATTTAGCTTCAATTTCATCTTGGTAACCACCAGGTAGTGAACCGATACAGATATGGTCGATTTGATTCTCTGTAGTATGATACAGTGATGTAAGTGTAACTTCGCATATACGTTTGTGTGGAAGTATGTTGTCATCTATAACCATTTTGTTAAATCCACTTAGGTTTGCAAAGCTCTTCACATTTTCATTCCTTTCACTTAGTCAGTCCACTCATATACTGGAAAAAATTAAGTCGGGGACAATGTGATAAATTGTTTGGGCTTTAATTTGCGAACATGACCAGAATGCATAGTTTAAAAATTGGCAGGTTTTATATAGGTTGCGTTCAGACAAACATTTAGAATTAATGCAAGTAATGTCCATAACTGTTTATATGGTTAATTCTCAATGTAAAACGTCAACTTTAACAAAATTCTTTGTGCTTCTTGATAATGCTATGAGATATCAAAGTTAAGAAGCTCTTAGTAAATACAACTGCAAACCCTTCTGAAATAGTATAGGTATTAGTGAAGGAGTAAAACGAAGTGACATTTTCGACACATGAATTCGGTAGTGTATCACGACGGTCATGAAAAAAGGATGGACAATGAAGAGACAATATGCAAGACAACATTTTTGGATGATGGAGTTGAGTCGTTTGTAATGGAACAGTTATGATGTGACTACTTATACGTTTCTTTTACGGTGTCAGTTTATACGGAATTGTATTGAGGTATGTAACAGAAGGCAAGACAAAAGTAATTATGAATGGATTAATAACTGCATTATTGGAGTAAATTAGTTACATCCCTCTAAGTCATAAGTAAACACGCTACAAGCTAATCAAACAGCTAAAGCTTTTTTTATTGTGGTTAAGGTATCTCCCCATTGTCACACTTCATTGAAAATAACTAATGGTGAAGATAGATAGTTGATCAAATAATATGATAGCAAAAGAATTTGAGCTTACAAAATCTGAGTAAATCAACATGAAGAATACAAGATATTAAACGCTAGTGAGTTCGGGATATTAGATTATTTTTGGATAAGTAGAACATGAGCTACAAAATGCTCACAATAATTCAAGAAATCAGGAGTATTTTTATGGTCTACAATGATTGAGCAGGATCTGCGTGTGTGAGTTATCGGTGTTTGTGATATAGAAAATAATAAGGGAAATAGAAGTTTATGGAAATTATGTAACTTTAAACATTAAGGAAATGATGTCTAAAGGTTTTACCCGTGTAGTTTAAACATTTATGGGAAAACTTGAATATATCAACCGCACTGATTTTATAAGTAGCTTTAATAACTAAGTCATTAGTAAATGAATCCCAGTTTCTCGTACGAAACACGTTATTCAGACTTCGGATATTTTCCCTTGAGTAATGAATGTGTTTAACTTTCCTTGTCTGACGTAAGGGTTCACTTTCAAGGTTTCCCATAAACTTTAGGTAGAACACGAATAATATAATGATCAGGACTAAAAAATACAGCACGTTCGCGAGTCAAGTATATTCTCACATCACTAATGAAAATAAGATCTAAGTGAGCATTCCAACTAGCGAGGAAATCAACTACATTTTAGTGACCCAGTGATCAAAGAGAGCTACATTTACATGCATTAATATCCCCACATATAGGCGAAAGCCAGCGACCGAAGGTAGTAACCGCGAATTCGGTGAGTTCAGATAGCGCGTATCAAGTGCTGTCTCAAGTCACACAAATGTTGATAATATAAACTAAGTTGTACTTGTGTCAAGCGTTTTGGAAGTAACCATACTCTATACATGCACCTGAATAAATTTTGTGACCAATAGACTTTATAGGTGCGCTAAAAATAAAAATGATGCTTACTTGACAAATTATCTAAGTGTTAGGAGCAGGTAGCCCGTATATTCAGGCGGACTGTCGGTCAAATGTTTAGACTATACAAACACACTCAACCGATTGCCAAGTTAGCTCACAAAAACACCAAGACCAGTAGCTGAATCAATCCATTTGGCGTAATGCAATAAATTCCCTAAGCAAAATATTTAGTCTGCTGACAACAGAATTTCCGACACCGGTCCATTTTTAGGTATTTCAGTCACACTTTTATTTGATCGGCAGTATCAAATATGACAACACCAGAAACTAACTAGAAAGTAAAACTTGAAGTAAAATAGACTTATGTTCGCGCCTAATATGGTGAAATAAGCTTTTATCGCAACGCTTAGGCACAAACATGAAGAATATTGGTTCAAGTCCTTGAAATATTAATTAAACGGAAAGAAATTCAATAGTAGTAGTGACGGAAATATCAGTATCGTTAGCCTAAAGAATGTGGTAGTGGAAATGCACTATCAACGTAAACTTTTCACTGACATCGGTTCACAATACATTTCTTTCAAATACTTCATTGAGCTGAAAAAATGGTGTAACATGGTCAATAAAACGCTTATTTAATGTGAATTCATAATAACTTAGTTATCATTATTTCAGGTTAGTCTTACTCAGTTTGATTTTGAAGTTTTATTTGAAGTCACCTCATTCTATATCCGTTTAGTTTTAGGTTAAACCATTTATGGTGGGAAAAATTCGCAAACTTGCATTTCTCCTACTCATCTTCTATCGACTGTTAATTTTAATTAATAAGCATGAAATTGATTGTGACTACGCGCGTTGTGAATACGCATATTGCTAGGACCGATGAGAACATGAAGTCCATGGAGAATATCTAGAATCAGAACAAATTCGATCACGTTCCGCGTTTTAACCATTAATATTAGAATTCTAATGCTACATGAATCTAAAGATGCCAAAAGTATTTGGAGTTTAGTGATGACTTAGCACGTAAAACCTTTATGATCGAGTATACCAACTCAGATATATCGGAAGTCAGAAATGATGAGGTTCGAAGATAGATCTAGAAGCATTTACCCTAAGATGGCTAGTAGTTGCAAGGGATGTGTAGCACGGCTACCCACTAGTTATGTGGTGCAATTGCGTATCTAAGCACCTTCAGATAGGGCGAGCCTAATAAAACTAATCAGACTACAATCACTGTTGAAGACTCACAGAACTATTTACTTTGGGGGATTATTTGCATCTACTGATCGTTCATATACGTTTTTTCTTACCATTTGTTTCAGATTTCCAATTCGGTGAGCACTACTTTCTTGAACGTCAGTTTAGATTCTTCGTTACCAAAATCAATAGTTCTGCGATTCTTCGACATTTGATGCTGACTTAATTACTTTAATGGACAAATCTAGCTGAAGGCACTCATTCACGTATGTGCATCAGATCATGTGTGGGTACGCAGTGCTGCGCATCTACAATCGATAGCCAGATTAGACCGAGCGCTTCCCTACATATCAAAATTCTTCACTTCTGTCTTCTGATTTGACTGGGTTAGCATACTACAATTATAAAAGTGTTACAGGTAAAGATGTCGTCAAACTTTGAATTCTTGTGTCATATTTACATCAGTTCTGCACCTGCGTTTTCAAATACCTCGAAGCATGAATGGATGAGACTCACTACCCTGAGGTTCACTAAGGACAGTAGTTATTAGTGAATCTTCCAGGCAGATCTTCACTCTGTGGAAGTTGACATGTTATCCATCGCACAGTGAACCAAGTGCATTATCTAGATTTTTGTCCAACGATTGCTGTGTCGGTCTATGACCAAAAAATGCACATCTACCCGCACCAATTAGATCTTTGGCATGAGCATACCATATATTACCACACGGCAACATATAGTCGTTGAAACGCACAAAATCCAGTTTAGCGGTCACATTATTTTGGCCTAAAGCAGAAGGATAAATAGATGATTTGTGTCATCCTCTTTGTCTGGATTGTTGTAGTGAGTTGAAAGGCGTATGGTTCTCGGAAGAATGTTGATCAATATCACCATTAATGTTCTGAAGATAAGCATCTGATCTTGATGGATTGCGTCTATGCTCATATGTATAAACATATCTGATAAAAAATACTTCAGATGTGGGTCATTTTCGTTCTTCATACTGGTTTGACATACTTGATTTGCGTATACTGAACAAATAATTATTAATTGCAGAAGTTTTATCAATTTGTCTACTTCAGGCAGGTCTCGAAGTTATCGCAACTAGTACATTGCTGCGGCAGCATAATATGAGTGAAGATTAGTCCTCTCGCATGCATCAGTACGACGTCATCACTTTCGTTACATGAAGAATGGAGTCTATCAGACAGTGTAGCTAAGGTGAAACCCAATTTAAAATTGTACTAATTTCATCGCTTCTGGAAAAACAAATTGCTGAAGTGACGCATTAATCGTTTTACGACATTTCGACCTTCAAGTACTCAGCAACCTCCTACAATGGACAATACCACTAGATTGTTGCAGTGCTCGCTTTGCATATTGATCTGTTTTCTTACCCTTCCTTTAGCCATAATATTGCACATCCTGGTTGCTGAACAAACACTTGACAAAAACACTTAGAAGTGCTTATTGTATTTTTCTTTTTTTATGGTTTGTAAGGTATATACTCACTACATATGTTGTGAGAGCACTTTTGATTTACCAATAGGTTAATACAACATAAAAATTACGTTTCACTCATTGGTGACTGCGAATGCCAGTAGCCCATTGGGAAGCAATCGGCTCTAAATCGGCACCTTAATTTTGTTTTTTCGCTGGAATTTTTTCAGAGCTGAAAAATACCATTATTTAACTACCAAGCAACCTATACGTTATCAATTCAAGTTCGTAAATATATTTGGTTGACATTTATTTTGCCTAAGACGAGTTTCCAACACTACTAGAAGTTCCCTGCTCGACATTTCGACGTTGTCCTAGGATTAAGTACTGTTGCCCCCTTATTTCGACTGTTACATTTCACTACTTCCACCAATACGTCGTCTTATTAGCTCACAAATTCGGTTAGTAGGTGTCGTTATGTTCTTCAAAAATGTGAGGTAAACTCACTAGAATGAATAAATTAAAAAAAGAAATATATTTCCTGTCAGTTGAAAACCTCATATTAGTGTAGATTTGTTTCAAGTGATATTTTGTACCCCCAGGGTATTTCAAACTTCCACGTTTACGAAATTGAATTTCGTCTATTAGCAGCCTTCATAATGCTTTTGTAATAGTAATTTTCCCAGAAGGCCTTAACAGGTTTGTTCATAACCAATGTTAAAGTCGTAGTTGTATATTCCTTGGCATTGTTTTTATTTTACAAACAGTCAATAAGAAGATATCTGTGCATCGTGTTACACAATGTCTCTCGTTGTTGTCGATGATGAAGTCGAACTCAGAAGGTTGATAAAAAATGAGCGGTAGTGATCGTTTGGGTTGATATATGTACGTTTTAGAAAACTAGTAGTGTTCTTCTCGTCCCCTAATGTGCCTCAATGCGATCAGGTACATAATGCCCTGAGAACACTTAAGGAAGATACAATGAATTCAGAAATTTTGTTCGTCCATGTAAGTTGTTCATCGTATTTTCTTGGCGAATGCAGAACAGCTGACCATCAGTTAAGGTCAGTTGTTTACAATTCGCCGTACAGTAAGCGCATTTGTTCCTAGCCAGCTGTTTCAATACATTAGCTAGGCTCTCATTTAAATGTTACAGTACTAATTATCCACTTATAAATTAAAACTAGTCCTGCTAATTCTATTCTAAAAACCTGCTACTACTAATTTCCAGTAGAAGTAACAGTTCAGTGCACTTTTTTCTGTGATACTATGAAGTTGTACTCTTTTTGTGCGCTGCCAATTTCTAGGTGGATGCGGAAGCCGTTTCTGAGGTTTCAAAACAATTGAAAATGAATTCTGTTCCCACAGTTTTATTCTTTCAGGTAAGTAATGAACTTATACTGTTTTCCTGGATTTAATCGATCACCTTTATTTTATAAAAATAATCTGATGAAACCCAGTAATTAGATACAGGTGCTCGTACTCAGTGTTTGGCCATTTTATGTGACTGGACTGACATCTGGTTTCTCAAACCTAAATATAGCAATTTTGGAACCATTGGAAGTTAGAGTGACTTGATTACCCTCCAACTATGCATATGATTTTCTGCTTTTGTATTACACCGATGTGGTGTATTTCTACCTAGACGTGTACGAAAACTATTATCGGACTTTGAGGTAAACTTAAGTTCACCAGCTCTTCCCATTAATTTGCAGTTTTTGTACGGTGCCACCGATCCTAAGAGGTAGTAAGCTTTCCCTCTATGTTCGGTACCCCAAATGCCCTGTTACGGCCGAGAGTGGGGAGAGTCAGCTCTCCCTCTCGAAATGCTCTCACATGGCCACGCGTATATAGCCTCTGCCAGGAAAGTCCTACTCACTGCCTTCTCGTGGCGAGGGTGTTGTTTACGAAATTGAAAGGACGAAAAGCGAATGTCCGGCACTTTAACCGGATTCCAAACCAATGGTGCATATGGGCTCCAGTATCCTGCGGGAACAAATGGCGTATGAACCAATTGTTGGTCACCGGCTTCCATGGGACTGCATCTCCTTACGATGCTCCGCTGCCTTGTGGATCAAACCCTCAGGTCGAAGTCTCCGGGTGTGGCCGTCTAAGGAAACCACCTGCTTCGGTTTGGGCACCCGGGCAGTATCACAGCCCTCAAACATATCGAATGAGATTTATGTGGCGTATATGTATTTGGTGCCTCTTTGTACCAATATCTGTGTTTTGAAATAAATAAATGTCTTTTGAAGAAGCCCACAGACAAAACACGAAAGATTTTCTGAATTCCAACGACTATTATTTTCCTTAAGACTCCATACATGTAATCGTTGACGGATCAAAACTATTAATGCATGTGAAGTTATTCTGGTGAACTACTTTATTGTAACGTACTTTAGTCATTTTTTTATTCTTTCAAACAATTACATTCTTACGGGACCTTAACCATCCAGTAAATGAAACGCAAGCTTTATTCACTTGGTAGGATCTTATAAGACTACCATTAGCTGTCAGACGAACTGAAATATCAACTAAGATTTGGGAACTGAATGTAATCTCATCTGAATGGTCTTGATCACTGACCGTCCCAGTTTATAAGAAAGGATTAAAATCTTCTTCTAATAATCGCAGAGGTATCAGGCTCACCAATGTAGTGTCTAAAACATTAACCTCGATTACACTTAGATGTCCAGTTAGAGCTCGTAAAGAGCGAAACCGGGAAATCCATGCTGGTTTCAAACCCGTACGTGGATGTGTAGACCAAATATTCACCCTTCAGCAGATTCTGGAAAATAGACAATTTCGACGTTTGACCATAGTTGTATTCCTTGACGTTAAGGCAGTGTTCGACTCTTGTTCGTGAGGTTCTATGGTAGTGTTTGTCACTGGAGGGCGTACCAAAAGTCCCTACTCGAACACTACTGGTCGAGTCAGAGTTTATGGCGAACTGTCATTGCAATCGGTTACTTCAAGTGGTGTTCGTTAAGGTTATCTGCTCTCCCTATTTTTATTTAACTTTGTCATAGACATGCTTTTAGAGATAACACTCATCGTCTCACATTTCAAGGATTAATCTTTTACCGGGAGATTCACTTGTTGACATAGTTCTGTCTAGCAAAGATGCAGTCAGTTAGCTGCAACGTAGAACCAGGCAAATATATGCATCGGTCCAAGTTGCCATACCTCATTAACACAACAAGATGAACACCAGATTCTTAGGAGTAGTTAAGTCAATGGTGGTAATATATAAAAGAAAGATTGCATATAGGGATATAGTACAGGAAGAAAGAATTAGTTAGTAGAAAGAAAGATATAAAGCGATTTTAATCTCAGTTTAAGGGAAGACAGAGATTGTATACACCGACGCCATTGTGATCGATTCTGAGCCATGTCACCAAGAGTCTCCAACCATTGGTTACGATAGTCACGCAGACCCCAACCAAGTAGTCTGCATCTACCAACATGGCTCAGACTAGAGGTTAGTGTCTTCAAGCACTGATGCCACGTTTTGGTTTAGCCGCCCATAACTTTCTTCCAACCATCCCCAACACCGGTTAACATTGCGCGTCGTGATAATCGGTGTTCAGGCATACACAACACGTGGCCCAACCATCTCAGTCGATGAAGATTCACGACCTCATCAAATGGTTCACCATCATTCCTTAATACCCTGCGTCTAACCTCACTATTACTTACCCGGTGATCCCAGCAGATGCCAGCAATATTTTAAGTCATCTGTTGTCAAATACTTGACTTGCGTCACCACCTGAATTAATGATAGCTAGTAAAGTAGTTGTACTGTTCGGTCGCCTCACTTTTCTTTGGAGTCCCATCAGTCCTGAGGGTCTTGTGTCTGTCGAAATCTCAGCAAGGTTTCAGAAAGCTCGATTGGCTTTTTCGAACATGCGTCACTAGTGGCTTAGGTGAGGTATCCTTCTTCCAACCAAATTATGGGTTTACTGCTCAGCAATTCACTCCGTCCTATTTTGTGGGTGTGAAGCATAGCGGTTAAGAGTAGAGGGGATTCGTACTTTACTAGTATTCAATCAGAGTTGTATTTGAAGCGTTGTTCGTGTATTCTGAAACCACTGAGTGACCGGTCCTGAGGTTAAGCATTGGTCACTAGAAAGACATGGCAAATTGACTGAAGAGGTTGTATATCTTCATCAACTGAGGTGGTTGGGGCATATGTGTTGTCTGGTGTAGCAGTAGGCCGGAAAAAAGCCAGGGGTAACCAAACCAAAACATTTCATAAATCCATATAGTCATTGACAATTTGACCTAGCCATGCTAATAGGTGTAGACTACCTGTTTGGATCTACGTGATTGTCATAACCAATGGTTAGAGACTTGGAATGACATGGCTCAAAATCGTTTGGAATCCCTCAGGCGCACCCGTCTTCTCTTCTACCAATCTATATTTTCTTTTCGAATCGTATCTTCGATGCAACTTCAACCGATGCATATATGTGCCTTGTCCTACGTTGTAGCTGACTGAATATCATCACTAATACTGTTACTACTCCTTCTGTTCTGGAATTTCACCTGACAATTTCATCTCCGCTAATGAAGTGGGGCAGCTTGAATCTATGTACAAGGTTTTATGTTGTTACTGACTGGCTGATCGTTCAAAGTTTATCTAAAACTGCAATAGAAGTGATTCCATCGTTTTAGTGAGATCGACTTTTCGGACTAATAATTGGCCACATTTGTCTGGTGTTATTTTATTGAAAATTCGGAAGAATCTCGTGCAAACATACGGCGTTTCATCCAATTTAAAGGTTCACTGGTTATTTATTCTGTAATTGACCCCTAAACAACATCTTACATGTTGCAGAACATCGCCGTTATGTTTCATAATCATGAAGCAAGTATTAGGTCACATATTGTTTAGTAGTCCGTTCACTGGTCATTGCCTTATTGAGGACCATATGTAGAAGGGGATCTTGTTGGTTGTTTAAGTTGTCGAATATTTACATCTAACAAATTGTATTGTGGCCCATCTAAATTAATAACATCACATTTGCACTGAATCGATTTCGTATTTGCCTACAGTTCTCATTTTATTCAGAATTGATGAGTTATTCGAGTGGTCCAAGTGCTCGGCTTTCAACCATTGATTTTCGTGTATCAATGCAAAGGTCTGACTTGATAGTTTCAAATGAATTGAGCATTGTATTTATTTATTCAAACTTAAACATAAGTACAAGGAGGCACCAAATAGATGTGCGCCACGTAAACCATTCGACTTGTGTGAGGGCCGGGATACTGTTTGGGTGTCCAAACCGAAGCAGGTGGTCTTCTTAGGGGTCCTATTCAAATCTCAATGAGTAGAAAACTTGTATTTCTGACGTTTTGTGACTTAATGTAAATCACTTCTTCAGAGTGGATAAGCAACGGAGTTGATTATACCAAAAATATTCTGCATTGTTCCCTTTGTTCAACTTAAACTTGTGTCAGTTTAATTCAGTTATTTATTTACTCTAAAGAAGTAGCTTACATTAAGTCACGAAACGTCAGGAATACAATTTTTCTACCTATTGGGATATAACAAAGATAGATTTGTTATTATTTGTTTTCAGGGTCAAATTAATACTCTGCACATATAGGTTTAATCATCAGTTTTGTGATATAAAAACACTCACAAGTCGTTCAACCTAAATTTGGTTGCACAAATACATGCTTGTTTGTTGAGTTGAATTAATTGCTGCTGGTTATTCATAATGAATTTGAAATAACTCAAATGGATGTAATTGTTTTAGCCTGCTTTGGTGTTCGTTCATAAAGCTGACTTTCGTAATATTTTGTTTGATTTTCTGAAGTTGTTGCATTCAATGATATTGTTTACGACGAGATCAAGGTTACACTTTCTACTCAGCGTAAACGATTGTATTTATTTCGTGGATGAAATGCACTTAGAATGAGCAGCTAACATTCGTATCTTAATGGCTCAAGAACCCAGTTGTAGGGGACTTTGCATTGAAATAAAAAAAGTATATTCCTTAGCAATGGAACCTGGAAAGCTTGGTTTTCTCATTGTCCGATGCATTCTAGTTCAGCAAAATAAGCCATCCGTAAGATATTCGTGCTTGGTCACATCTCTTCTCTACGTCAAGTCCGTGTAGATGAAACTGAAATAAGACTACCTTTGCTTTTACATTCAGCTTTAAGTCATAATTAGAGATTGTCAGAGTACCAGTAAGTCTTTAAACATATAATAGTTATCTCCAAAGTCGCTCATGTAGAGGGAATTAATGAAATTTTTTTGCAGTATACTTGCGATAGTCTGAGTATACTAGTAGTCACCCAATGATTTAATGCTTTAATTGTTTAATCTGCCAATATTATTGTTTCCTTAATCAAAAAGTCAGGTAAGGAAATCAATCGCGTTCATGGTGCATCTATTCCTGATGTTACAAAATCTGTCATGAATTTGCAATCAGCACCCGATAATGGTTCATTCAATGATCTTTCATCACGTCTTCACTCTTTAATTAATAAGGCACCTGTCATGCTTTTTATGAAGGGTAGCCCCGAAGAACCACGATGTGGATTTAGCCGCCAGATCGTCAGTATTTTGCGTTCGAATAATGCTAAGTTTGAAACATTTGACATCTTACAAGATGAAGTGGTTCGACAAGGTTCGTTCGAATTTTAATCATTTAAGTTTCCCATTTTATTGAATATGGGTTTAAAATGTTTTTTTTTATTAGTTTAATGTGTGAAGAGGTTTTGTAGTATTTCGAATTTCAATCGTCTTCCCAGTACCAGCACTTATGTTTCCAAATAAATCTCACTTTTTGTCGTTAACAGATAAGTAGCAAGTACCTAAATTTATTTGTTTATTTTATCTTACTTCATACATTCTGAGCACACAGTGATTAACTGTTACCACAAACACTTCAACCACTGTTTATGCATACAAAAATTATATCATCTGAAGGAATGTCCACTGAAACATTTCAAGTCGTAGTTCTATGGGTCTAGTACGTGATATATTTACTGTACATACAAAGTTTCATTTTTGTCGGTGCTGGAGCTCGTGAGTTGGGCTAATCTTTTTAGAATTTTTGCTTAAAATAAGCATTTCAAGAGTAATACATTAATCAACTGCTTTACCTATAGTTGATTGTACATATGCTTTTTACGAAACAGTTATAAATGTTTAGTGGGAGAGGTATTTAACTGACTACAATGACGATACATTTGTGTTCATAGAACCCGTTTGATTTTCATGTTTCATCCGTAACATGTAATCTTTGTTATGCCTTATATAGATTAGCTAACAACCCTAATATCCACTTGTAAAATTTTAGAGAAATCCTAAAAGTATAATAACTAAGAACGTTGTTAGTTATGGAATGCTCTATGATAACGTTTATTTGGTTATAGCAGACGAATAGACAAAATAATACCATTTAGATAAATCTAAACGTAAAGTTTCTTTTGCTTGACAGTTTCTAAAGCCCGATCTGCTACTCTTTATCGTATTCACTAATTATTGTGATCATTCCATCATCGTCTGATCCTATTCTGTGAATATTCATTCTCCTGACGTGGTCGTCCTATCAGTCCTTACAGAGTCTGATATGTTAGTAAACCGTACATAGCGTGGGAGTTATAGTAGTTCCAGATTGAAAACTTTGTATAGATATTGATTAAGATGTGATTTTTGGAATCACGGATAAAGCTTTTGGATCAAATATCATGTAAGTGTAGTTAGATAGGTCAGTCGCTCGACTTTCGGTTGTTATGTCACAAGTTTAAACCCCATCCTATCAAGTGCGACTGAAACCTGGATTTATATTCCCACACCTGAGTCACCAATACTTCATTATTTGTCTAACTGTATCAACTGATTTTTCTAATTCAAATTTCGGTTGGAAAAATTTACAGTTTAATTCGTCGGTAACCTGACATAAATTCTTATTTGTTTAAGCTTTCCTCATAAGATTTTAGCCAAGTAAGAATTCATATATTAATCTTCAATTATTTCCTGTCAGTTATGAGCTAGAGGATCCAGCAGATACTTAAACTGAAAGTGAAGTAAGGTTGTAACCCGCTATTTAGTAATTAAAAGTCCAGTCCACCATTGTGTTGCAACTTAGTTTTGTTTTACTGAAATACCTTGACGATGTGTTCCAGTTTTCGTTTTTTTCAATGTAGGTTTGAAGTCCTATTCCAATTGGCCAACTTACCCACAATTATACGTGAAGGGCGAGTTAGTGGGTGGCGTGGATATCGTACGAGAGTTAGCCGATTCTGGAGAGTTAGCACAAATGTTGATAGTTCCGTGAATGTGGCAAATAAAACACCTCCTTTCTTCCAAGCCTCTGCCATTTATTGTATTTTGAAATGTAATATAACCTTATTAAATTGAAGTCTTCATTTTTTGAATTTGTGGGTAGTATCGGCTTTTGATTTTGTTTACCATTAATTGTATACATAAAATATTTAGATATGTAAGCGTGCTTACTGCGTTAACCAATAACAATCGACACAACCCATGTGTTTGATCCACTGACATAAAAATTTTGTTATCTATCAAAGATAATTTTTTGTGTGAAACTGTACTCAACGTTTATGAAAACAATAAATTGGAGGTAAGTTTTCTACTCTGTTACTCAAAGTTAAGTCTTCACATAACAAATTGCCAAAGGTTGATTTGCTATTACTTATGTAATTATGTTAGTAAAACTCACACTGAGTGAATCCACGTAATCTCAGCGTTTTGCCAAGCAATCTTGTGTCCTGTCTGCAAAATGTACTGACATCGTTGACCTATTTTCTAATCAAAACACGAAGTTCAGCGAAGGGATCTCTTTTCAACGAATTTATTATCAAGCTGTACAATCGTATATATATGAAAATCTTGTTTTTTGTAAAAGTACTAATTCCGTGAGGAAATGTGAACACAGTTAATAAAAAAGGTTATAATACTAGATCACATAATATGAATAATAACAATAGATTTAGTGAATATAATAAGATGATTAAAATGTTTTTGTCATAATAATTAAATGTCATAGACGTGTAAAAATAAATAAGGTGATATGATGAGTATTTATGAATAAAATAATGAGAATATAAGACATAAGTAAAGGGGGAATGCAGTAATAATAATAATAATTGGATAATCAAAATACTTAAGGCCAAGGCAACGATAAGACGTACTTCTTTCCCTACGCATAGTTTTGGTTTAAGCTCCTGGATGGTAAGAGCCTCGGCTATTTTTAAGAGTTGGATACGAAGAAATCTAGGTAGATTTGAACGAATCATATAAACAACCTTAAAATCAATTTGTGGATCTGTAGAATGGTTATAGTCGATTAGGTGTTCAAGCATAGAACTCCTAACTGCTTTCCTCTCATCATTGTAAAACCAAACTGGGACGTGTTCCTGTATCCGAGTTGAAAGCGAGCGCTGGCTACGGCCAATGTGCCTTGCTCCACAAGAGCAGGTGAACTGGTAGATGCACATGCAAGCGACCAGACGCGGAAGCTCATATTTTATGGATACAGAAAATAAGTTTCTACTAGTGAAGGTTATTCGCAGTTTAGCCGCATTAAATGTTCTAATCGTTGTTGTTAGACGATTTTTGATTACATCTGATGCTCGATCACCTTTAAATTCCAGACTTATATAAAGGTTTTTCTTCGTAACGGAGCAACTAGGTTTCTTGTCACAACTACCTCTATTCATATTCTTTTCTCTGAACTGTTCTGGGTAACCATTTTCTGTGAGCGTTTTCTTGAGGAATTCAAGTTCTTCGTTAATGCATTATTATTGTTATTATTATTATTATGACTGCATTCCACTCTTTACTTATGTCTTATATTCTCATTGTTTTATTTGTAAATACTCATCATATCACCTTATTTATTTTTACACGTCTATGACATTTAATTATTATGACAAAAACATTTTAATCATCTTATTATATTCACTAAATCTATTGTTATTATTCATATTATGTGATCTAGTATTATAACCTTTTTTATTAACTGTGTTCACATTTCCTCACGGAATTAGTACTTTTACAAAAAACAAGATTTTCATATATATACGATTGTACAGCTTGATAATAAATTCGTTGAAAAGAGATCCCTTCGCTGAACTTCGTGTTTTTATTTTAATGTATTTTCAGTTCATTTAATGACTTGGCAATGTTTCAGGCACCGTCTGATTCCTTTTAGCCTTATGTTACAAGTTCAACAATTTTAAGAATGCTGCAGTTGGTTTTACGAATACATTTTTCTGTCCTTTGATGTAGTCATCCTTGACTTTTACAAATCCAAAGTTCAGTTTATCTTTTGCTCGAAATTATATCTGAATATAATGTTCATTTGGGCTTATAGTTTCTTTATGGAGTAAGATGACCAGAGTGGTAATCCTGTTCGTTGGTTAGTGTTCGATTTTTATTATACTTTCAATAAATAAAATGAATGCTTAAATAGGTTTGGAATAATCGGGGGAATTGAAGATCCTATGTCCATGCTTGTTTATCTGTATAGATTTCGAAGTATGTATAATGTCAACCTAAGAGGTTACATCATCCTAATAATCTAAAGTGGGTATAATGGATGAGCTGAATGTAGAGGTGTATTAGATTCGGAACGTCTGTGTGTGATTTCGGACGCTCTCGGCGCATCAACAAGGAAGCGTGTTGTACATTATTACTTCAGTAACCGGACGTCACTAACGTGGAAATGAGCCAACGAAATAATTACGTAAAGATTAAAAAATCATTATTTTAAGATATCACCGTTCTTATGAACGTATCAGGCTACGAAATAAAGCAAAGCAACATCTTGGAGATGAACACTATCAAGAAGTCAGTGAAACCATTTGTGAAGCCATACACTAAACAGACCAGGGGTTGGTATTACAAAGGTATTACAAACCATAGAAATAAGATTAGAACTCTCATGATCAAGTAGTGTGCAACTTCGAATTATTTTCGTTAATGTAAATGACAAACAATGACAATGATAATAATAACAGGTACATTGATCTTGAAATAGACTAAAGTACTCATTACCAACTGAACTGCTCATTTCATTCGGGTTATTGGAATAATTCCACTGCCATTTGGGCACGTTCAGTGAGGGTACACTGTGATTAAATATTTAAATAAAATTGCATTAAGAAACTGATAAAAGAGAAAGTGGTTGTGGAATGCAAACCTGAAAAGTAACATTTGCTTGCAGCTTGGACATTGTTCACAAGGATGTACATTTCTTTCGAGTTGTTATTTCTTAATAACAATGATAATATAAGAGTACATCATTTAATTTGACAGATTAAAGTAATAGTTTGTATTTGTTTTATATGACTGTATATGTACCAAGAAGAGGGAGTGAGCCATGGCTCAATCAAGCTTAATTCTCAAATATATATATGTACGGATGGATTGAAAAGAAAGCTATACATGCATGCACCTTCCTTAGAAATGTTAAATCATTTCTTTGGATTTTTGGTGTCACCAATAATTCATCTGATTTTCAAATACTTCCGAGTGTGTACATGATGTGTGAGAGCGTATATGTATGAGTAATACTAATTAGATAAAGCTTTTTTCGGTTAGAAGGGTTTTATTGCTCTTCCTCCTCATCGTCTTCTTCAGACTCATCAGTGACTACCACATCAGCTGTATGAGCAGCTGGTACATTTTCAAATACTCCACTGTGTGGGCATTGTTCTTGCCATATATCAATCTGAAACAGAATATCAATATAAAGTAAACAAGTATTAACAACAGAAAGATAAATCCTTCCAAAAGATCTTAAGAAATCAACCATAAAATGAGTACAATCCGATGATATCCCCATAATTTGTAACCGGCTGACTACATGCTCACGCACGAATAATCTGTTACTTTCATTGGTAACTTAATGAAGTCAGATGTTAATTTGCCATTATCCGGGTATTTTAGTGAATGCTTTAGTAGGTGAAAATATATGTCACATTGAAATCGTGAGCCAGTTGAAGCTAGACCACCATTGAAACTTTGGAAGCACTGGACGGCCGTTTCGTCCCAGTATGGGACTCTTCAGCAGTGCGCATCCACGGTCTCACACCACACGGGGCTCGAACTGAGGACCTACTGGCTTCGCACGCGAGCACTAGATCACTGAGCCGGCATTCAACGATGTTAATGTCTAACTTTTACCAATCCACGAAGTTGCGCCACCGTACACCATTGTCTTCAGTGAGTTCCTATCTCACAACAGACCTGGTTAAACTCCACTGGTAACAGCTTCTCACTAGAACTTCGGGAGTTTTTCCTGAAGTCAGTCACTAGTGAGCAGTTGATTATTATTGTCAGAATGGGTTTTGTGGAGATTTTAGAAATTTCACAGATTGAAATCATGATTCAGTTGAAGCTCACTGAAGACAATGGTGTACGGTGTTCCCAACTTCGTGGATTGGTTGAAGTTAGACATTAACACCGTTGGATGCCGGCTCAGTGGTCTAGTCGTTAAGTGCTCGCGCGCGAATGCAGTAGGTTCTGGGTTCGAGCCCCGCGTGGTGCGGGATCGTGGATGCGAATGCTAGGGAGTCCCATACTAGGACGAAACGGCCGTCCAGTGCTTCCAGGTTATCGATGGTGGTCTAGCTTCAAATGATTAAAAACATGGGACCTTATTTCACAGTGAACGGTATTCAGTTAATTTTTACTGTCTATCGTTAACAGTAATTTTTTAGTATATGTACAGTTGGAGTTAAACTGAATTAAATCCTATCATAAACCTTATGTATGTGATGTAGTACGATGATAGTCATTTACTATTAGACTAGATACTGTTAACATGCTAATTTACGACATTTTACATTTACGTACTGTTATAGATAAAGATATCAGTTAAGTCTATAATCCTGACAAACAAATGTTTATAAATACTCTCACACAAATCTAGTATTTCTGAAGTTATAGTTATCTCATTTGTTTTCGTCTACACTGTGGTAATAAGGAAGTTTGAAGACTTGTATCTATTGGGTCAATTAACATGTTAATTACATTGGTATGAACAATTAAATATCAGGATAATCACTGAAAGCATAACTAAATTTCTTCTCAACGTCCCTTATTACCCTTTAATGACATTTAATTTACCACTCACATACTGTAAATGATAGTGTATTGTCAATCAAGAGATATGATTCGTGAAAATAACACCCTTGTATTACTAGTAGTATCTGGGAGAAAACACTTATTGAAAGATATTGAGGTAAAGTGTATATTAGAGAGAAAAATTATCTTGAGATGGTGGAGATTTGTAGTTCAGGTGGATGATTTTGATGGAGTTTTGTTCTCTGAGCTGGACGGTTTTGTCGTGGAGCTTTCATCGTCCTTCTGAACGACACCGTCAGCACAATCAACCAATCAGGGAAATCATGCCCAAATATAAAAACAAAAACCAAACCATTGGGAGACAAACAATGACAAATTTAAGGTCAATAAGTATTAGTCAACATCAAGCTGTACAGAACAAGCTACGAAACACATGGAGAAATTCGAACACTTCACTTCTATCTGAAGTTTGAGCTGATGATGTCGTTCAGGAGAACGATGAAAGCTCCACGACCAAACCATCTAGCTCAGAAAACAAAATTCCATCAAAAAAATTATCTGATGGAGATTTCACTTTTCCAACAAAACAGAAGTATGTTTAATCGTTCTTTAACCGCAAAACTTAATCTTCAGACTAATTAATCAGCATTATTCAATACTGGATGGTGGGTACACACACACGCTAAAGAAACGTATCAACTTACAATATCTGGTCGACTTTTGTTCTTCGCAGCTTCTTCTGCTTGTTTCTGACGCTCTAAGAAGGCTTGTTTAGCTTGTGTAGTATATCGTGCTTGTTTTGGTGCACCATCACTATTACCATTTGTATGACCATCTTCAACCAATAAAATAGTCTGAATGATATATAAAAAGTAGATGGAGTCATTTTGAAAACAAAAAATGTAGAGGATGCCTATTATTTTTAATAAGAGCAAATGGAGATATCTTTAAAAGATCTTCAATGATGACTATTATATGGTTGTTAGTTCGTATTAAATAGTGACGATAGTTATACTTAAATTAATTCAACATTAGGTACTGTACCACGTAATAATGTGTTCCAGTCAAAATTGAGAATTAAACATTAGTGGTTGGGGTTTGAGTTTTAATAGGTGAATTTATTACCTGTCATTAGAAATCATTTATTTCAAATGTCAATTCTAACTAGCATGAACATATCTTCACACAATACGGCTGTTTCTATTGGATGTAATATGTGCAGTAAAGTAACAAATAATGTATTTTATTTCGATAAAGTCGCTGTAAATAATGCGAAATGAACATATTTTCATCCTAAACATTTTATATGAAGTTGAAATACGATTGAACTTAATAGAGATGCATTATTTTTGTTTTAAGCACTTTACATAACTGGTTAGAGCTATCTTCCGTTTACCATTATTTATATGATGTAAATTACAATGAAATGTTAACCGTCTCCAGCAAATTTCATCACGTTAATTTCTTCCTATTTAGGTTAGTGATTTTATCACATGCTTTTACCAACATATATAACTCAGTGACAATGCTGATGATCATCTGATATAATTATCTGTAAATATATGCAGATATATAGGTATATCCAATTAAATAAATATCTAAACAGGTTTGTTAATACTGTTACACGGAGTTTGAATAAACAAATCTTTATTATTATTATTATCATAATTAATCTAACACAAAATCTTTACTATTGTGTTCGATATTCACATGATTTTAGTGTGCTAATTCCAACTCACTGCATTTCAGCGATATACTCTTAACCCTGCTTATATGACCTTTCAGCTTTACAAATGATACATTTCGTAAGTACAAACATTATAATAGTCCACCATTTTAACATGTCTGCTTCAACCATTCCTTACAATATGTATGCTTTATACTACTCACTACAATACAAAAATTATGGACTGATGACTGTAAAGTGTAGAGGTAAAGTTATTCAACTCTTTTTTCGTTTAGCTTCAGTACAGTTATTGATTTATCCGGATGCATATCTTTCTACGGGATAACTTACCTTGTTACTTCCTGTTGTTATCTGTGATTTAGATGCTTCTTGTATAAATCTGTTTTTCGCTTCAGATGCCCATTTTACAGAATTACTTGGATAGTCATCTGTTTGATCGTCATCATAACGGACTACGTTATCAAGTCGAGTTGGCTCATTTTCATATATTCCGCTTTCGGCAGCATTTATATCTATAAGCTATAGAGATTAATAAAGCAGATTAGTATCATTTTTGAGTAAGCAATAAAAAAATAAGGGAACTATCAGATATATTTTGTGGAGAAATTTTCAACAGTTCACATGTATAAGGCATTCTGAAACCTTTTGAAATTCATTTATACTTCTAATTAGTAAGTCTGATTTACATAGGTGTGATTCTTCACCTTTCATGCAAAGAAATGCGAACTAACTTTGTATGTTGTCATTGAAAAATGCTAGCTTGGGTACAAAGTTCATAAAGTTTTACTACAACACTCAGCTATTTATCTTCAACTAAATATCATTGTGAAAATTCCTGTATTGTGAATTAGAACAATACGTACAAGCGGAAAATATTGTCTTCAGTTAGATCCTCATCAGGCTGCACTCTTATATATATTTATATGTATATACACAATTATTAAACCAATGATGGCAGTTTATTAGTCAGTGATAACACTGGAATAGATAACATAATAGGTTAGGAGTACAAATTAATGGTGTGATAAGAATAACAAAGGCTTCAATCCATGTTTCATAGTAGGAAATAGGTCATTGACTTATAAAACATAGATGCTGAAATAACATTTATAACAACTATGCGATTGCGTAATGAGAAGTGTTCAGATAATTGGACAATGAAGCGTACATTTAGTCGGAACACTCAAAATTGAGTTCGCTTTATCGATGTCACTAGTTTTGTTCATTAGAACTAGTCATCTTCCTTTTCCTGGCTTGATTGTGGTCAGACTTTTATATTTTCTAAGCTTGTGTAAAGCTTCTCGATGTTGTTCGGTAATTAGTGATTTCACGGTATATTTACGATATTTGTATTGTTGGTAGATATCAACCAACGCTCTTAAATCTAGTAAGTTCATGGAGTAAGGTGGAGACCAAATCTGTTCTTTGTGGAACTAAATTCTCAAACTGCACACCAGTATCCAGTTGATTTATTCTATTTCCATAGTTAATCATTAACCAATTCCAACGAAGTTTTTAGCTTCTATGAGACGGGCATTAAACGTTAGGAACTTATTGAGTACCTTAATTGCAAACGGATTCCTCAAGTGACTTAAGAATTTCCATATTGTGAACTGGAACATTAGGCTTTGCTCTAACATATAATAAAGTTTATGGGTGATGAAAAATTAAAAATGAAACTACAGTATTATAGTAAATTAAGTTATTTGTAAAGTACTACGCTCTTTAGTTAACTTAAACAAGTAATCGATTATCCTGAACTAGTTAAAACAAACTTTTTTATTACTTTCATCTCAATAATCACTTAGATACATTTACTCACTTTTATACTATCTCTCTTTACAACGGAAGTATCAGCAGCTTTCTTCAAAAATAATTCACGTCTTTCTTTAGCACTTACACCAGATGGTAGGTCTTTTTTAGTTTCACCAGCTCTAGCAATATTTTCAAATTTTTCAGGTTCATTTTCATAAACACCTCCATAACCCTTTGATTATATGTAATAAATAAGGTGATAAACATTTATAAACAATAATATATCGAAACTTATTATTTTAACAAAATAAATTTACATTGATATGATAATGTTTATGGTTCTAAGTTCATATGAACATAGTTACATGTTTAATAAAGTAAATATAACATTCAAATACTTATAAATTAATTGAAGATGTTTATTGAAATTTTTCCAACTTTCAATCATTTAACTCTTCTCTGAACATATAGTGTGTTTTTTTTCAACTACCTTTGATATTTATTCATTGATGAAACGAATGGAATGAAAATAGTATAAGTCTTCTTTCATTTTTAATGATTACTTTTTTTCACTACAAATTAAGATATATGATCGAAAACCATAAATAGTATATGGCATTAAATTCCTAAAGAGAGCTATGTTTTTTACTGTAGGATTCATGGTATTATATGGTAAGTGAATTATGTTGACACAGTAACTACTTATTCAGTTTGCCTAAATAGTCATTGTTAAAATTTCTTATCATTCTGCAATGAATTTTGTAACAAAGTGCTCTGTTAATTTTCTCAACGATAAACTACTTATTTTACAGCTCGAACACTGTTAGGTCCCGATAAACATAATAAACGATAACTTTTGGGATCCATTTATGGACCAATATTAAACGTATATTTTTATCGTGTAATTGTTAAATAACTAAACTATTCATATTCCTCTTTTTATAAACTTTATTTTGACCTATGAACCATTATTATACGTTTTACCATTCTTGAATTATGCCCTATCTATTACTCATTGCCTCCCACATTCACAGCCACATTTGGCCGAATTTTGTACAAATGTTATTTTCTATTTTATGCTATTTTGTGGTCTTTTTGATTGGTATATAAAATCAGCATGTTTGAAATATAAGGATTCATATCGCAGAGGCTGAGATTGGTGTTATGGACTTAACTGACTGGGCTAGGCGGAAAGCAAGACCAATCAAGACTCAAGACTGCTCGCACATGTTTTACGCGTCCTTGGTTCGATTGATTATTCGCTGCTTTTGATTGACGGCTTTGGGCATAACAAACACAAAGATCATTTATTCTCATGTAAAATGAAGCAATGCTACTACTGAGAAAATTTTTTTGTACTAAATGATTCGTGATATATGCTGAACAAAGTCTATTAAGTCCGGAGCAAAGTTATTTCAGTGCTAAAATTATGGAACTTATTGTTGACTCAAAATTATTCTAAAGATTTCGTAATGTCAAACAAGTTAATTTATCGATCAAACAACTAATTCAGATCGATATGACTTGAGTGACATGACAGATTAGTAATACAGTTCTAAATTTTCTTGAATCCATCAAAAACATAATGCATAAAGACTGAATCATTCCTGACCAATCGAAACATTTTATTCATAAACATATGACTTATAATTTAATTTCATACTGTTTATTGATTATAAATATAAACATGAAGTTCGTTAATGATTTGATTAGAACTTTTGCAACGAAGTTATAAATCAGATCTTGTTTTTCAGGTAAACTACTTTAGTCTTACTAAAGTAGTTAAATTTACTTCATTGACAATTATATGACTTATGAAACGATAAAAAACCACAGGTTTTTTACCTGTAAACCGATATTTAATATATAACTAAGGTTGAAATATGTAAGAAAGTGTATAATTATGTATGATTATCGGTTTTGTTGCGTTCTCTGTGTTGGATCGTCTAACAGAGAACCTAATGAACAATGTATTCCAAACTCCCTATTTATATCGACCAAAAGTCTGATAAATGTCGGTAACGCATCATCTAGATTTATTTAATAGAATCTAAGGAACACAAAAATATCTTTAGGGTACTCAATGATGAAGACAACTTGTACTAAAACTCATCTACTTTTAGGATTGTCAATTTTCGCTTTATTATTAATGAGGTACTAAACTTAAATATGAAATAATACAATAAGGACTATCATTTGAGTTGAACATTCTTGTCTTATAGATATAAACTTAAATATTTTGGACAAATTACAAGTGAAGTGGACCTACAAACGATCAGAATGTAAAGATTTTCGTCACAGCAAGTAGCTTTAAGAAATATATAAATATATGCATATATCTTTAAAGGGTTAGCTTAATTAGATCTGAAAATTAATTACAGAAACTGACCGCTGGCATTTGTGTTGTAACATACCATTATGAGAACTGGAACAGTGTTTATTACTTTTAAGCCAAGGTGCATTGTTGGGATCTTTCACTTGAAATACCAACGTGTTATCCACTTGGCTATTACTTCCAGATAGTTGTGCAATGTAGTTACTTTCAATTCATTCATATTTGTTATTTGTTCCTTCCCATAGTTGTTTGGATACATCCCATGCAGATTGCCTATCTATTGTTATTAAGTGGATAACACCTTGAGGTTTGAATGGGAAGGCACTTGTTATGAGTCCGAGAGTGAACATAAGTTTTGTAATAGAGGTACATCTAGATGTCGAGTCTCAGATAATACGAATCGTGAGTCCTGGATTCTACTAGTACTCAGCAGTCATCTCCGCTTAAAATGTTCATTACTTAATAGCAATAGTGAAGAGATCCCACAGGGTGCACTTATGTCTAATGAGGCTGGTCAGTTACAGACTCAAACACCAACGGGAAGATTCAAACAACCAATACAAACGATGTTTATCCATAGTATATTAATATCTGAGATCAATAACGTCAACTTTATATAAATACAACAGTTAGAATTTCCAAAATAAAGATTCTTTTCAGGAAATACTGTCCAAAACTTAAGAAATCTATTGTTTTCCATATTTTGTGATTAAATACCTCAATTTATAAAAGAATCTCATGAAAATGTCACAAGATTACTCTAACTATTTTCATTAGATCATTAGAACTAAGCGTCGTATAATTGTAGCTATTATTTTCTTATTGAATGAAACACTTGAATTCTCTCAAGATAAATTAAGTGATAGTGGTCAACAAAATCCGACCGAAACCTAATGTAATAGTTCATTGCTGGATGGTTTAAATTACATTCCTCGCTGATAGGAACGGTCAATTGGATATTTTCTGCCTATATATATAGGATCCTACTTCCTCCATCTAACTAAATTTTCCTAATCAGTATGATATGTCTAACATCTTTCATCAATTTGCTCATTGGTTTCTGAACTGTTATTATAAATCTGTCACTTATAATCATTTTGACTCATTAATTACAAAAAATTATTATCATAAAAAGATTTGCAGAGGTTATTGAATTTAAAGTTAAAGTCATTACAAACTAGCTAATGCCAGACGTTTTATGGTATTGAGAATTTAATGAGATTAGAAATGTGGACTTTTATGTCTCATCTTAACGATGTATAGGTATTATATTGTACTCAAAGGTGCTAGTACTATCTCGTGTAAGATCGTGTTTGTGAAACTAAAATAAAATAACGATTCAATGCTCACTGACCTTAGTTGATCAGTAAGTAACCAAAACCAAATATACACAAATGACGGAGACTTTATTAACGTCAAATTCTAGAAATTAAGTGTTCATGAGTCAGTTAAGTATTGTAACACTTTCATATACAGTAATATTTCATTGATGATATTTGTTGGGAAATAATAAGTACCCTGCCTAATATTATTAAAACTAACGTCTCTTTTAAGAAGAAAAGATGGATTTCTTCAAAAGAATGAGTGACAAATGTGAAAACGTTCAGATAGAAAGGAAAAAGATTTAAATTCATTAGAACGCTACCGACGATCAATGCATATTTGAAATGTAACTTGTAAATGATGGTTTCAAAATTCAATTATAGTTTAATAATAATGATGGCTGATTTCTTATATACAACCTGATAACTAACGTTTTACTAAATGAAATTTTAAAATAGAACTGCAAATGATTTTATCGAGTGTATATTTTGAGTTGAGATTTTTAATAGTCACCGTCTAAGTGAGGGGCCTGACAGTTATATTTCACGATATCCCATTTAAAGATACATATAAGCAGTTCATAGTTCTTGTACTTTATTTTTCTTAAATTTCTATAGAGTTCAGAAAAATAAGGTACCTTTGGAAAGTAATTCATCAAAAGTTCTCAAGTGATATGATTAAATTATTACTAAACAGAATATGAAGATCTTCTTTCGAGTAACAATAATTTACGGAAAATCAAATAAACTGTGATTGGCTAACGAAATTTTAAATTTGGTAGTACAGTTTGTTTGTCATCACTGTGTAATAAAATGCTTTGTCTGTAAAAAAAAGTATCTTACTGAATTATAAAATTCGCCCATTTATCCGTTCTTAGTAAAACTACAAAAGCACTAGACACAATGATTCTCACTTACGTCATGGATATCAAGTTTCGGACGTTCTGATAATGCATCTTTTTCAGTTTTACCACTTTCAATATCCTTCCATCGTGCTCTTGCATTTTTTGTAGCTTCCGGTGCAACTGTAATTGATTCATCAATGAATGAACTTTTTTTACGATTCTCTCCATCAATGCTCTAAAATGTACATGTTAAAATGGAAAAAAATGATTATAACCATTATTTTACTAAAATAATTATTAACAAAGTCTCATTTAAACGAATGCAAACGTTTTTATGCTAGGACATCAAGATCATTACTGATGTAGTACACTATTCAAATGAAGTAATGTAAATGATTACTTGGTTAGTTAACCAATGAATAACAAGAAATGAAAATAAGTGATCATAAAATATTTATTGTCAGTACATTGAAATCCGTTGTAACAAAACCTGTATTAAGGTTACAACCGAATTAAATTAACACAAGTTTATATAGTACGGAGGAAACTTGTGTTAATTTAATTTGGTTACTGATTTACTCTGAAAAAGTGGCCTACATTAAGTCATGAAACGTCAGAAATACAAATTTTCTACTCAATGGGTTATAACATAAATATTATTATTTATTATTATTGTTTTTAACTTTGTTCAATCGTTATTCATGAATCACAACTCTATGGATCATTGTGGAACAATCAATTGAATGGAATTCATTACTCTACATCAACTTCATTGACTACGAGAAAGCATTTGATAGCATGGACAGAACAACACTATGGAAGCTTCTTCGATACTACAGCGTGCCTGGGAATATAGTCAATATTATACATAATTCCTATGATGGATTAAACCGCAAAATTGTGCATGGAGGACAGTTGATAAACTCGTTCGAAGTAAAGACCGGTGCCAGGTAAGGTTGCTTACTCTCACCCCTTCTCATTCTCCTGGTGATCCACTCTACTGGATCATGAAGATGTCAACATCTGAATGGAAACACGGGATACAGTGGACATCTAGGATGCAGTTAGACGATCTAGACTTCGCAGATGATCTGGCCCTTCTATCCCAAACGCAAAAACAAATGCAGGAGAAGACGACCAGTGTAGCAGCAGCCTCAGCATCAGTAGGTCTCAATATACACAAAGGGAAAAGCAGGATTTTCCGATACAACAGAGCGTGCACCAATCCAGTCATAATTGACGGAGAAGATTTGGAAGATGTAAAAACCTTTACATATCTGGGCAGCATCATTGATGAACATGGTGGATCTGATGCAGATGTGAAGGCGCGGATCGGTAAAGCAAGAGCAGCATATTTGCAACTGAAGAACATCTGGAACTCAAAGTAACTGTCCATGAACACCAAGGTCAGGATTTTCAGTACAAATGTCAAGACGATTCTACTGTATGGGGTGGAAACCTGGAATACTATGAAAGCCATCATCCAGAAAATACAGGTGTTTATTAACAGTTGTCTGTGCAAAATAATTCGGATCCGTTGGTCGGACATTATTATCAACAACCAACTGTGAGAAAGAACAAACCAGATCCCAGCGGAGGAAGAAATTAGGAAGAAGCGCTGGAAGTGGATAGGACACACATTGAAGAAAGCACCCAATTGTGTCACAAGGCAAGCCCTCACATAGAATCGTCAAGGCCAGAGGAGGAGAGGAAGACCAAAAAACACATTACGCGGGGAAATGGAGATAGGCATGATAAAAATGAACAAGAATTGGATGGAACTAGAAAAGAAGGTCCAGGACAGAGTGGGTTGGAGAATGCTGGTCGGCGGCCTATCCTCCATTAGGAGTAACAGGCGTAAGTAAGTAAGTAAGTATTCATAAATCCAAACGTTTTTGAGCAAACTTCAGGAAAATAAACATTCCCATTGATCCACATTGCTCATGTTTTAAATCAGAACGTATCCTAATCAATTAACACTAGAAATAGTGAAAATTGAAGCAATTTTAATGCATTAATTATGTTTTCTAAGTAGAACGACACATTTCCATCCACATAGCTGAAATATTTTCAGCAAATTAGACAGTTAGTATTACAACTTATTTTAGAAGTAGTTTGTGTTCTACTTATTTTTCTACCACATCTGATCGTTTACTTTGAAACTGAACATCACTGTTCCAACCTACAACATATTTTATGATGTATGAATGTTCATTTACTTTCATATCTACCTTATCTCTGTTTATGGACATTCAGTCTATAGTATGGTATAATGGTTTAATCAGTTTAATGTTTCTCAAATGAAGATACTCAAACTCTTTTAATGCAGATTTCTATAAACTATAAGAAGAAGTAGCTTGAAAAGCATATGATCGTAATACATTATGGTTTACAACTCTGAGTAAAAATACTTCGTTGTCCAATCACTTTACATAAATTTATAAGCAAGTAGTAAAGAGAATTTATTCTGTTTATTCGAGACCTACCTGTCCACCAGTTGCTTCCATATTTCGAAATTTCGCCCTCAAATTTTTTGTTTTTTCACTAATCTCTTTTAAATCCACTGGTTCAAACATATCGTCCGATGTAACCACATCTGGTGCTCTTGGCTTTGGATTACTTTCCAATATACCAACAGCAACACCATCCGGTGGTGGAGTGAATTCCTTTGGTTTCCTAGGTCCATCTTCAACCTTACTCATTGTAGCCTTTGTAGCTTCTTCAATAAATTTTGTTTTAACTGATTCCACACCGGCATATTTCATTTTTGGTGCAGATTTCTTTTTGTTCTTCCTTTTATCACTATTCACTTCACCTGATTCAAACTTATTTCTAATATTTCCCATTCGTCCACCACTGGCATTTGATATTCGTCGTTCAAGGTCAGATTTTTTAGTATCTTTATTCCCATTTTCACTTTTCTCATCTACATTTAGACAAGAAATTAAAAATGGATATTATTTATAATTAGGTAATGAGTTTTTGTTTTTCTGGTTAATCTAAACATGCGAAAGTGAATACGTGCTCATGAAATATGCTACGTGGCTATTACAAATAAATATGCATTCAATGGCTGTTTGGTTCAAGTTTCAGAAAACATAATTATTCACCTCCAAGTTAACTGAATAAACTACTAAAAAATATTCTAGGTTAAGGGGGACTTGCAGTTTTATTAATTTATTGAAATCCCCAAAGTTGACTGATATTTTAGGGCATAACTCTATAAACGAAATGACGTATGTGAGTTACGAATACATGTGATCAATTCAACTTATTATACTGTTAGAAATGTTTAAAATACAACAGATGGGTAATCATATTGTACTTTAAATGGTTACTTCTTTTATTCGATTTACCCTAGTGTGAGACTTGTTTTTACCGAACTACTGATAGATGAGTATTGTGATCTCTTTAAAAGTTAAACGATTATTGAAAATTCATTCACTGTTTTCTACCTTTCACTAGTGTTCAAAGCATAAAGACTTATGTTACAGCTGTTCAAACGATCGCTTTTAACAAACATAAGTTCAAATGTACATATCAGTTTTTCAACTCCATTTATGATAATTCAATACATATTACTTATACCAGTATAGTAGATTATAAGTTTATTTAGTAAAATGTTTATATAAATACAGTCATATTTCAGTGAAATTAATATTTCAATAGTTGAGATCATGAATCAATTGAAGGTAGATCACCATGGAAAACCCGGAAGCACTAGATAACCGTTTCGTCCTATTGTGGGTATCCACGATCCCGCCTCGAGAGATTCGAACCCAGGACTTATCGGTCTTGTGCGTGAACGCTTAACCTCTAAACCACTAAACCGGCATCTATTGGTGTCAATGTCTAACTTCAACTAATCCACGAAATTAAGCGACACATCAACCATTATCTTCAATGAGTTACTATCTCAAAGCAAACCAGGTTGAACTCCACTGATCACTGCTTCTCATTAGAATTCCAGGAAATACCTCTTGAAGTCAGTTTTATTAGTTAAATTTTTATGAATTTTCCATATAATTAATCACTATAATACTTTGTATCATATTGAATTATATATATATATATATATAAATTAGGTTGAATCTACATATGCCAATTGATTACACACATATGTACATGCTTGTATGAACATATTTCATATACCATTGTTAATTCAACCTTAGAAATTTTGAAAGAAAGAAAGAATATGAGAATTAGTTCTGCCAATAGTTATACATTTACATACATAATCATTCAATGATAGTACCTTAAGTCATAATTTCAAACCATTAAAACTACATATTGTAACGTATAGAAAATTTATCATATCAATAATATAATCTAATCTATTTAAAATGTTTATTTGTTTATTTATATCACAGTGAGTAATCAATGTAAACTGTCTTATCTTAAAAAAGAAATATACAAACGAGTAAATAAATATTGAAGAAATCAAGTTCATATTGTAAACAAACAATTTTTTAATCATTTATAATAAAGAACAAACAATAATAATAATTTATATTGATTAAATGTTAGAAAAATCATAATGGTTTATAGGCTTAACAGTATATATATACAGATATAAATATGTATTCATGAATTGATTTATTCAATTCATGTAATGAATTAAAACAAAATAGATGATTCATTGAAAGTTCCTAAAAATCCTATTCATTAAAACATAATAATAATAATTACAAATTATAGAAATGAATATTTTCAAGAGGATCAATTCTAATAGTAGAAACATAATGTTAAATAAATTGAAAACAAGTGCTTTTTCTGTTTTACTTGATCCATTTTGATAAGATCTCCAGTTAAGATCTATTAGAATTCTATAGATTGTTAAGCAAAAATCTTATTATTATTATTATCATTACATTTGACTTTTAAGGTTTGACTGAGTTTTCAAGAGTTTTAGTCGTTTCTTTGTAAAAGTGGAGAGAGTAGCTAGATGCTTATCAATAAAGATTATCCCTCTAGTCCCTAGTCTGTTCAATGTAGCTGGAATATAGTAAATAGTGAATAATCTGTAACATCATTTGCTCACAATATGTGAGTAACAATTTTTAGTCAAGAGGAATTAAGCTATGGGTTAACACCAAGTGTTTTGAAATGAAAAATCTTTGATTTCATGTTATCATAATAAGCTTTTTATCTTTTATGTCCGTGTGTACAATATAGTATCAAGGCTTTTATCCTGAAGACAACTTACTAGCAAGACATATTTGGATATTTTCATTCCTATCCATTTTCACAACAAATTCATCCCTACAAAAGGCCATTTTAACAAAAGCAAACTGTAGTCTGCAGTACTTTGTTATCTTTGAAATTTATATTCTTTCTCAATGATCTCAAAAAAATAATCAACACCATTAAATGTAAAATAAAATTTAGTCACATCCTGAGGTTAATGTACCATAAATATATTAGTCATTGTAGACTATTATAAATTACGTCTAGTTCTTCACCTTTCCGATATGAAACAATTCATGGACTGAAATATGACGTTCCTGGTAGTCAAGCTTAGTAATTATTTCCTTTCAACCGTAAAAAATCCTCTTCAATTGAATACTGAGAAAATGATGCGTAACAATTTATTAAATAGATCTACTGATGAGTTTGTTATCAGACTATAATTAATACTGAGAACACATTCTAAATACTGATCACATTTAGTTGATCAGCAAATGGGAAGAACCTATTAAACCAAACTGTACTTGAAAATTATTTACTTTAAAATATCATTTAAACTGACCTTTGTTCTAGTTTTTACATACACCACCACATAAATATACAGAAATCAGGAGTGTATTATAGAAAATTACGTAATTTTATGGGAATTTAAATAGTAATATACCTCTTAAGATGATTGAGTGAATATATGCATATAGATTTACTTGAAACTCAGGGTTTTTTTTAGAAGGATTACCAATCTTGTTATTCTAAGGTAAACTGAATCCCAGCTAATCATGAAAGAATAAATCTATAATCACTCACGAATGTACGGTAATAACATGTTCATCTTTGTCGGAACTTGAAGAAAAAATTCACTTTGTGGCCATCTTTGGCGGCCTGCTTTATTATCCGAACTACCTGCTCCTGTTATCTAGATATTCCAACAAATTATCTATTTCTGTGTGTTTCTGAAAAGTTTACAACCTTTCGTTGTATAAGTTACAAAACGTCTAATCACAGATCTCGTGGTTGTTGGCAATATGCAACCAAAAGAATGTACATTATTTAGATATCAATTTACTGGACTGCTAACTTCTAACTGGCGACTACTCAATATTTATCGTCAGGATCGACAAAGTAGTAAAAAAGCGGAAACTTTTTGAATTACCTTGTGCTGAGAATTCTACATTGTACCAAATATATAATATTGAATAAAGCTAATAATGCTAATGACAATAATAATAGAAACACTTATAAAAGTCAATAAGCTTTTCAAAAATATGACCTTCCCTTATGTTGATTTTGACCTATCTTACGTAACTTTGGGTAAGAGATACGTATTTTCTAGTTATTAAAATCTAGGATAGTTAAATAGAACATACTAAAAAATTTATTTCGGAGTCAAACTTTCCATCGCCATTACACATTAAACAACATTTCCAAAATACTTTAGAATTCTCAGTAACACAGTCAGTTTAAATTCACAAAAATTTCTCAAAATCATCATATGAAAAAGTTTTGAATAGCTTATTTTTGAATAAATGAATTATTGTTGGTCTGATCGCTCATCGAATTCCTGACAGATCTCCAAACAAATTCAAATCAACTAATACACTACTGAAAACCAGTAGGTATTTAGGAAATGTTTTTCAAATTTTTAGGACCCTCTGGCAATGCGCATCCATTAGCCAATTTTAGGAAGAACGCAGGAACTTACAGTCTAATACCAAGAACGATACCGATAAATCACTGAGTCACCATGTAGTCGTCTGTATTTTTTATATTAACTGTTTTGGTATTGAGTACGATGTATGATAACTGTCTTAACTTCACTACTTATCAATTTTCACTGAAAATTTGGAACTGCACTTATTATCCGGTAACACAAATTGCGCTATTAAATGATGATTAAGTTGATTAACTTTACAATCCTTGGTAAATAATCTGAAAGTCATGATGTGAATCGAGCATTAGCTCGTTTGCAAACATTTCTGCTAAGACTCAAATAATCGCTTTATGATTTCCAAAGAATTTCTAACCAGCATCAGACCAAAAGGAAGATTATTTTAAAGAAAAAAAAATTTGTCGACATTATAGTTTTGTGGTGAAAAATATGAATTCAGTCACATGTTTTCTGTTACTTTTTCCCATTATGTATATTTTAAAATATCCGTCATAATAAAATTGATTAGTAACCTTGTATCCTTTTGCCCACTTATTTCCTACACAGTGAAGAGGAAAAAAGTAAGCGTTCAACTAATACTCATATGCACATACTTTCGTTCATTGCATATCACATGCCAATTTAATAAACAAAAATTTAACCAAACACTAACCATGTCTATACATCTTTTGCCATAAACAAACACATGCACAAATACATATATGAATACATCAACAACAACGAAAAAAGATTTCCCTCTTTTTCTTTTCTAATTATAACACATACCAATCTCTTGTTTTTGTGCTAAGATTGTTGTTGATGTCAATGAATGATCTGTGAAGAAGATATGAATAAAATTATTTTAGAAAAAAAAACGGACAATAATAAAGTACAATATAAATTAGACAAAAAAACACACATTCAATCATTAAAAAAGAAACAACCCAAAATGTGAATGAAAAATGGAATTCTAACAATAAATCTATCTGTTCATCATCGTCATCATCATCATCTTCATTTTTGTGCTTAGGCATTTATTCATTGGGCAGTTTTAAAAAGGAAATGGTTGAATATCCACAATCAATTTAACTAAATATGTTACGAATTTTCTCTTTGGAAAAAAAGAAAGAAATATCCAGTAAGAATTACATAATCAAGCATGATAACATTTTGTACTAATATTAGTAGCATTTGCTATAATGGTAACATTCATCTTAGAATTACTGTAAATTTGAAAGAAAAAAAAATAGACTATTTGCAAACAACAAACCAACCAAATATTTAAAGAAATCAAAACTACAAGATAGAAATGGGTATTGTAAGGATTAGATTTTGTTTGATTGAAATAAAACAAGAAATGTGATATAAATTTTCATTCCTTCATTGTTATTATTGCTGAAATTGTTGATGCCATCAAGATATTATTATATCAGTTATTATTATTTTTTTTATTGTACATTGATAATATCCATATTATATCGAAAGTGTAGTGCACAACACCAGTTACCATTTTGAAATATTGCACTTTTATCACTGAAATTTTAAAACAAAATAAAAATCAATAATCGATATTAAAACGATTAATGATTAAAGTAGTTTTGTAAAAAAGTTTCCATAAAAAGAAAAACAAATTTTTATAACCAAATAATAATAGCCAACATTTAACCAATAAAATTAGAGCATTGAAAAATTGCCTTGATCTAGTTTGATATCAGAACAAGAAAGATGTTCTACGCTTGTTAATGTTTAATAGCTTATTAAATGGACAGTGACGTTAGATAATAATAGAAGATAGATATTAATCTCAATAACGTCAATGGTGTAACCGGAACCTCAATGACTTTTCAGTTTTATCGTACAAATGATCATAGAACCATGTTTGAGATTATCAATAATCTTTGATGATCACTGAATACTGATCGATCATTTTTTATATATGTGATATAATGGGAAGAAAAATCAATTTTCGATTGATTTACTTATTATCAGTTTTGTTCAACATTACTTCCGTTTTGATTCAATGTGGTTATCATTCAGTATAATATTTGGTTTTCTTTTGTCGTATGATATTTTATTCTATATAATATACGATATTCTTGTATTCCATTGACATAAACTATGCTCAGTATGTGATTTGTTATAACTCTAAGTATGTTTTATATATGTGATTTCACCCTAATTATTACTCAAAATGGGTGTAAAATCAATATATAAACCAGTGTATTTTAGACTATTTTTATCATGATCGTTATCGTGTTTTGGGGCTAATGAAATCATCACTTATACCAGTCTTTGTTTTCTTACTTTTGCATCGTGGGAATTGCAGAAGTCCCTCGTTCTGAGTATAAGTGATCAGAGATTTTTCCGGCAAGCAATCTGTGACGACCCGAATATAACAGTATGCAGGCTATTTTGATGAGTTAAGATAAACGGTGTTGCTACCTTGATGTGTCGTTTTGTGCCAACATTTACTATGGAACTTTGAATGAATAGTCGAGTTATAGTCATTCAATTAATCATCCCGTCAATTCAGACATTCGATTGCATATGTATGACACTTCATTGAGTGAAGACAATGATGATGAAGTCCATTTTAAAATATACTAATAAATTAGATAGTTTGTACAAATGTACATTACTTTTTCATGGTTTAAAATTGAAATAACTTACGTTAATGTTTCATTACATATTGAACATTTGAAACAATTACGATGTATCACTTGATCAACTAAATCATAACGTTCATTTACTGGCATTATTTTATGACAAATCGAACAATTTTCTATTGAATTTAAGTCACATTCCATTAGTTGGTTTATTATCTAAAAGAAAAAAAAGACAGGAAGTGAAAATTTCTAATCAGAATAGATAAACAAATATTAAATTTTAAACATGATATATATATTGATGGAGTTTTCTTCTCTGAGCTGAACGGTTTGGTCGTGAAGCTTTCATCGTTCGTCTAAACGACATCATCAGCACAAACTTCAGATAAAAGTAAAGCGTTTGAATTTCTCCGTATGGAGATAGATCAAATAGATCATCAGGCTCCACTATGATATGCAATAGTGTTTATGCCCATATATGCAAAATATCAGATCAGTCACAGGGATTTTACAGTCATAGATAATTGTGAAAAAGTTTATATAATCATAATACTTACTACTCATTTGTCTTCTTACTATCGGTTTGTATTTTTAATTTAAATGATTAGTTATGTAATCTTTTTCATTGTTATCATCGACTCATAAATTGCCTTGATTGGATGAGTATTTTTCAATTCTGCTTATGTATGTTATTTTATAATATACGAAAACACTCTTTTCACTTACAAGCTTTGCTTTGATTCAGACGATGAAAATTTTTGATCAAGAAACAACAATGGTAGTGTTGTGGTCTGTGGTCCTGTTTAGTCACAAGGATCCTTTCAAAGCCTGATTAATCTAACTTTACAGAGAGAAAAGTCTATGGAGCAGGCTTCATTAAGAAAATCCGAAAACCATGGATACTTGTGGGTGCAATGACTGACCAGATAATCATCTATAGGTGATGAACCTGTGCGGATGATGATCTACTTAGAAAAAAGAACTGGCTCTTTAATACATAAATCGTTCTTAACATGTAATTTCGAGATATCTTGTGTATGTCTAGTATAAATAGACATATAGTTTGCAAAGTAATAATGAACACTAACGTTCTCAACAAACTCGTATCAAGGTATCATTTTCAAGGATACTTGAAAACATGGATATTTAATTTCATTTAATCTAGAGGAAAATTTAGTTAGAATTATCTCACTTTTTCGAGCTTACTTTGGAGATTGTTTTTTAAACCGAATTTGTACGTTGACGTTATTAAAATGGACCGTATTGTTAAGTGATTAAATAAATTACAAACCGTTTGTCAAATGTATGTTTCATATAAAGCAGTATGAAACTGCAATGAATAGAAGTGAATTCAATTTTGTATGCTACAAAATATTCATGTTTGCTTCTAATTGTGTGTTCTTCCCCCCTCTCAAAGCCTTTTGCAGTATGGTTACTGTGCACTGTAGAACGTGTAAGTGAATAAAGTTAGTCATGGGATAGATAATTTTGTATGTGAGGTCATTCAGATGTTATGACTAGATTATTTAAATCCCCACTATCAGTGAAATTGTTGAGATGTGACTTATTTTCTAAATTAGGCAAAGTGGAAAATCTCCTTCCTAAGAGAATGAGGTAAATGATTTTACCGTAACTAGGTATATTTATATTATGACATTGTTACGATAAAAGTGAATTTTGGGAATCGTATTAAACATTAAATAAAATTCCACAATAACTTTTGGTAATTCAGTTACATTTCTGAAACTTAAAGTGACTTACAGTTTTACTTCTAGGCTGTGCAGATTCCACTGGCTTTTCAGTCCATATTCCAACCTCTTCATTACCTGTCACGGATACTGGACGTAAGTTACTCAATTTGATTTGTGGTACCTGTGATGTTAGCAGTGGCGACAATGTTTGTCTATTCGTTTTATGAGGCCCAATGGTGTTCACAAATTGTAATGAAGTTAAGTCTTGTGTAGGTTTATTAAACTGAGAACTTTCTGAAGGTATAGGTCTACTAATTACCGGACGTGGATTAGATTGACTTCGTTGTTTCTTATCAGATTTTGTTCGGGGACGTTGTAGGTTAATTTTTGAAGCAGCTGAAGTGAATATTCGATGAGGTTTTTTCAAATTTACATTAGTTTTTAATCCGTTGGCGTTATTTGATTTATTGTTATCATAGTCGGTATTATCACGAAGATCAGGTGTACTTTTTAAATGAAGTTTACGTTCATTATCTTCATAATTTAAATTGACTTCTCGTTTATTATTGTCGCGTATTTGTTTTAAACGACATTTGTTCGTCTTATTTGAAATTACTAAACATAAAGGCATTTCATAAAATCTAGTTTCTAAAGTTAATGTTAATTCGAACATTTATTTTCATATTATTATTTCAATAAATATGATTTCATTTTACCAGTGTTGCATAAGAATGAGGAATAAAATAAACCACTTCTAATACAATCATCAATCATGCAATATTGTAATATTATTAATGATATAACAGCAAGCTTATTATGATATGCATTCTACGTTATTTCGTGCAATCACTTTCAAAGAAGTATTATAATGTTTAGCTATTAGGTAATTCTATTTCACTCGAAAATAAAATGGTTTCATTCTACTAGATTATTTTCAGTTAGTTATGTTATTTACAACTAAGATATTACAAATTGAGCAGTCAAAAATAAAAATAATAAAGAAATTCAACTGATCGTTATGTATATTCTGATTGTATTTTGATGTATAACTATGTATCGTCATACTTTAATTGAAATTCAGCGCTTTCTAAATAACCGATTATAAAATAACAAACATTGTTGAACCGGTGTTTTTTTAAATTGGGAAATATATCCTTTAGTATTTACAAACAGAATTCCATTAACTTTGTTCACATTGTTATCAACTTTCAGGTCTATTAGTTCTATATGAACGTCATGAAAATTTATTACTGATAATAGGAACCCATCAAATCTATCCTTAAACAGGATCCTCTTGAGTGTAAAGTTAAACAATCAATAATCATGAGTCACTTATGTTGCGAATTTATTTCTTATAAACGCTCCTTAACTTTTTGAAGAACCTCATGTGCAGAAAAGCTGTTATCCTGGTACTTCATTTAGTTTGTTCCAAATATCAAAAAAAAAATGTAAAATTACGAAACTAATCAGTTGTTATACATTATTTAAAGATTATTTTTTGTGATGTTTTCATCTTAAGAAGTATTACATTTTCTTCCCTTAGATTCAACTAAGTTTTTAATATGAAATAATAATATTAAACTCTTACATTTTTTGATCAAGTTTATTGCTATCCTAATAAAAGGATTTATTCTGTTAGAAACCCACATTGGGGGGGGGTAGAACAGAATCAATTCTTAAAGTTCATTTAATCAAACAATAATTCATTTATAATTTAAATTCTATCATTTTACTTCACCTCATTAAGATAGGTTAATTCATGTAATTGTAATTATACAAAAGTGATATTCATATATATATATATATATATATATATATATATATATATATATATATATATATATATATATATATATATATATATATATATATATATATAACGTTTACATTAACTAATTCAATTAGTTTACATTTCATTATTTATATGTTATAATTTCTATGTTTCCCATAATGATTCTTATCAGAAATAATCTCTGATACATTCTTTGACCTCATTAATTCAAATGATAAATTACGTTAATCATAAAGGTAATGAAAGCAATAAGTCTGTCCAGTACTTTGATTTCTTTTCTCTCTTTTCTCACATAACATTCCAATCTATACAATGGTCTGCAAATATTTTCAATGAACTGTATTGTAAATGTAATTATCTTAGGATTTTTTTAAAAAAATGATCTTTTTAACCAGTGGTACTGTCTTATCAATTTAGAAACCTATAAATTATCTACATTTTGAAAATTTTCTACTATATCCATGAAACTTACCAATCAATAGCTTCTCTTATGGATAATACTTTTATTTATGACATATTTCTTATAATATCAAGTCACAGATTTTAGTACGAACATTTAGAATGTATATTATGTCATTGTAATATTAATGAATGGACAAGTCAGTTGTGTAGAAGGTAAAAGATACACAAACATTTTGCGAATAAACACCAATTTTTATTAATCACATTTAATAGCCTCACATTAGTAAACACAGTACAATAGTGCTGACTGTAAATTAATTCACAATAACTATAATTTATCTTATTCAGTAAATTGAGAAACACAAGAATACTTCAATTTCTGCCTCCTAACATTTTATTCATATGTTTTCCTTCTATCACTGTTAGCGTCTAAAAAAAGCAGTGAAACATTAAATGATTGTTATTCTCATTTGATAATAATTATCTTCTATGATAATTAAAATAACCATAATAAGCGTTTACAATCACATGGATACATAACCATAAGAGAGAGAGAGAGTGAAAAAAAATCATGCAGAACAATCATAAAAATGGCTTTTCAAGAAACAATACACATGACTTGTTAGATTACTTACCTTTATTTTTCATATCGTGAAAAGAAGTTGCCTACGTTTTAATAAAAAGTATAAATGCAAACAAATAGTATACTGTTGGTCAGTGATTAATGATTAAAGTATAAAACATTAACTTTTAAAAAAATACTTATAAAAATCTCTCTTTTTATAAATTAAATTGTAAATATTACTAAATGAAAAATAACAAATGATAGTACTTTTATAAGCAAAGATGGATAGTGGCTAGCAGTGGGATACAGGACGAGAGTTTCGTCCTGTTTGGGACTCGTCAGCTGGATGTTCCTGCATCTCAGAGTTCATGTTCACTCTGGGACTCGAACCCAGTACCAATCGCTTCAAACGCCATCGCCTTATCCACTTAGCTACTGAGTCCTGATAGCCACTTGCTTGTGCAATGGGGTGAATTAAACTTCACCCCATATTGTTTTTGCTTGTATCTTCCCACTGAGGTTTAAAACTGAAGTTGATCAGTCTTTTATTGGCATATGTGCATACTGTGCGTATGCCTCGATATTGCCTTAATTCACAAGCTTTTATAAGCAGTCTTAAACCCCAATGGAAAGATATAAGCAAAAACAATACCAATTGAATTTCAATGATAATACTATTGAAAATTTAATTTTTATCAATTTTGACAAAGATTTTATAAAGTTAGTTTACTGTATTAAGTATCTTATCTGAGAACTTTTCTTAACTAAGTTATCAACCCAGTTTTTATTCAACTGATGTGAAATTGCATTGAAAACTATATTTTAATACAATTTTTAACTGTCAACCTTTCTAACCTTTTGAATGAACTATTTATTAAGTATTTACATTAAGTGTAGTGTGGTTAATAATCAGTTTTGATAATTCACTGTCATTTTTGACAAGTATTTACTCTTAATTTGAGTAAATTCACCGGTAAGTGTTCAATATTGACATATTTAAGTAATATTCTCAATTCATGAAGTTAAAAGAAACTGGACATTTGTAAGTGATATTCTTTACACATTAACATATATTTAATTATTAGTAAAAACCATCACAGTCCAACTTGGTGGCCTTAGAATCAAGCACTCGTCACGATGCCTTAACATTTTGGATTTGATCACTGGTGAACTCATAGGTGAACACCGATGAAGAACCCCATTTCAGAAGAAAATAACCATCCAGTGCTTACCAGGTTCATTGGGTGGTGTATATTGTCTAAGAAACATCTTTTAAAAAAATCATATATTTGTATTTTCTTAAGACTGATTAACATGATTATTTTGGATTTCTTCAATATTTCTCCGTTGCTTATAAACTAAATCTGAGTTCTCTGTAAACATCAGGTCATAACGGCTGCTAGTAATATGATTTAATAACCGAACTGATCTATGAATATACGCGAAACAAAAAAAGTAGACTTACAATGACTGAATTTGCAAGAGAGAAGTTTTAGGAGTACAGAAGCCAACATTATCTCAAATATTTCTTATCGATGTTTATTTCTTAAATGTCTTAATCGGTACAAGTTGACAGAGCTTCTACTTCAAAAACTGTAAGTTTATCTTTTTTAATAATGTTACATCAATATCTAGATCCATTTACAACACATAAAGAGTATATCTGATGAGGTTTTTAGTATGATAATAGATTATATTATTAAAAATGAAGCATATTCGAAAAACACTCTAATTTAGTTACCAGCTAGTCATGAAATATGCAATCCATGCTTCATTTTATGTAAGTCTACTGAGCTTGATGTAATCACATCCCAGTATTGATGCTGTCATTGGAATTAAGCGATTAGAAATAATAATACGAATAATACGTATTAACAAATTAAGTCTTCAATAGAATTTTCTTCCAAACAATAAATATAATAGATTTTTTTAATTGTTTAATCCAATAAATTTAATACTTCCATAAAGAACAGTACTGAGATAAAAACGAATGTCTAGAATTATCACTAATGTACTCAATCTCCAAATCTTTGCATGGATATAATATGAAGTAGGCCCTTCATTGGATTCAAGAAATGCAGTGGGTATTTTGCAATATCGTTTGTATCGAGAATGAATAAAAACTCGCTAAAAATACCAGCGCTTAGTAATGATATATCTATAAAAAATCAAATAAAATTAAATCAGTAACTGTAATAGCTATTGTAACGAGGCTGTAGTTTCTCTAAGAAGTTGGAGAATTCAAGCTAAAATTTGTATTCATGTACCGTTCTAATGTGTAACCTCAGAAATACATCAACTAATAGTATAGTTACATGAACCACCCAAAAGAACACTAAAGATCTTTAACTATCACAAGAAATGACAAATATCATGACTTCTAATCCTAACTACTAATCAACCTTTAGTTTCTAATTATGCATTATGTCTCCTTAGCTAAATAAATCAAATCGGAATATCAATCTTATTTCAAAGCTGACAGTTGAAAGCGATTATTTCGAATATGATTTTACTCAATAGTAATGACAATTTTGTATTCAGCTATACTTTTGATTTTTTTTTATTGACTACAAAAAATAACGTCGATCTCTGATGATAAAATTTACCTCTTGTTATTTATAAAATGGAGTCGAATACAAAAGTTATCCTATCAACAAAAAATAAACTTGTTTTTAATCAGTACAGGAATAATGTAGTAATTATAATGTGTGTAGGTAGAAATGAATAAAAAGATAAACGTTTGCTCAATATTTCTAATTCTGTTTTTTTAAAAACGAAAGTACAATATCTACACTTCATGGGTTACTGTCGAATTTCGAATATAGTTGAATGAATACATCATCATCATCATCGGTTCATAAAGATTATTTTCAATGTAACTGCTAGTTTAAGCGAAACACTGATGTATTAATGACTTTCAACAATTTCAGTTACTAATTTGTTTTTTTAAATCTGTATCCTTAAATAGTCTGTAATTAAAAGTAGTTTGCTTTATTTATCAAAACTGTGAGTTCAAAACATATCTCATTTGTTGTATATCTAAAACGAAATTTACATTGAACACAATTAAATTATATTTACATATAAATACTGAAGTACTGTACAACACTTACAATTCATTGAGATCATGAAACGATTGATGTTAGACCACCATTGAAAAACTGGTAATTACCATGTACTCACTAGTGTCCGCGTCGGGTAGAAACAGGTGTCTACCTCAGTACAATGGAAGATGGTCGGGCAACTTCATGGACTGGTTGAGGTTAGACATTAACATCATTTGATGCCGGCTCAGTGGTCCGGTAGGTTAAGCGTTCGCGCGCGAGATTAAAGGTTCTGGGTTCGAATCCCGCGGGCGGGATAGTGGATGCGCACTGCTGAGGAATCCCACAATAGGATGAAACGGCCGTCCAGTGCTTACAGGTTTTGAATGGTCGTCTAACATCAATCGGTTCATGATTTCAATCAAAAACTTAACAATCTCCTCAACCCCTAAACTGATACATACAATTCAATAAAAACACTTTTATGAATTTGTTATCATGTCTTTTGCTTTTTATAATCTACTAATCAATCTTGAAATTTAATTGATAAACACAGGCACAAACTCTGAAATTTTACAAATAATATATTATAAAAAATAATCAACTCCACTAGAGAATACCACAAGCTGGTATTTTGAGTTGCATTATTGACAAAGATAACTATCATGAAAATTATATAAGTATCATGCTTATGATATCTTAGTATTACTTATCTCGGAGTATTTAGATAAATTGAATAGTAGTGTTATGAATGGTCACCTTGGATTAACCAAATTAACGATAAAATAACTCAATACATGGTCACGATCAATAACTGATGATTATCTTACTGAGTTACGAAGTATTTAACTGACTTGTCAAAGTAGAGTACGCTTGCAGTGATCAATAATAGCTATAAATATGATCCATGGATAACCAACATCTCACTGAAATATAATTAGACTTCCATGGAGTGAACTTTGAGTGCTCTCGTAATAATATTATAAAATATTTTAGCTACATACGATTTTATATAAGACTTATTATATCACATACTTTCTCTGAATTAATTCAGATAAACAAATCATAATTAATATTCATCTAAAAATAGTCAACTTTAAATTGAGTATAACGCATTGTTTCAAGTAAACAACAACCTTTCAATTCAGTTTATAAATACTGAACATTTCATTTGGTTACTTGTTTAAAATGAATAATTTTCAGAAGTTAAAATTCAAAAACGATAGGGCGATAATCACATCCATAAACCAGCATTAAGAGAGGCAATTTTAAAGAAAAAAATTAGTCTATAACATTTCGGCAATAAAGTAGTTCGATGTTTCATTGTTATTAACTGGGACGCAGTTTATTGGATGCCGGAAGTTTGTGATAAAATCAGTCAACATATTTTACCTAGCTCACAACACGTACGATTTCAATTTATATTGAGAACAATATTAGACTGCAGTATGATAAAATTAACGGTCGACCGACACCAGCAAGCAAGATTTAAAAATTAAAACTAGAGAAGTAAAATTGTACAGCTAACATCATTTGACAATTTGTTATGCAAAGAGTAATGGATTGTTTGTTACCTAGTAAACAAAATGTGAACAATTTGCACTATTTTTGCACTTGCTGTTCATTTTTCAACTGTATTTGTGGTAGCTCATTTGAGTTTATAAACATTTAGCTAAAATTTAGAATAGATGGTTTGTAGCTAGCAGTGGAATTTAAAAGATGTGCTTGTTTCATTCATCAGTAGTCAACTGGATATATTTGCATCCTAGAGTTGATGTTTACCCCGGAATTTGATTGCAGTACCCTTCTCTTCAAATGTTCAACGCGTTATCTACTTAGTACAGATAGCCACTGGTTTCTTTCAACCCTTAATAATAATGATATAAGTTAGTTAAAACTTCAAGCATTTCATTGTACAAGTATTCGTCTTACCAACCAGAATAAATTATGAACTTTATTTGTGTCATATATATATATATATATATATATATATATATATATATATATATATATATATATATATATATATATATATATATATATATATATATATACTT